TGTGAAAATGGACAATGTCACTGTCCATTTTCACACACTCCATTATAGTGTTCAAAGTCAACTGCTGAAAAATTTGCTTTGGTGCCACATATTCAAACTCCGCTTAAATCCATCCTTGTGTGTCAAGCAAAACACTTCAAATTTGATGTGATGTTAGTGGTGTTCTTTACTATCTGTACAATTGAATATTTGTATAAACCATGAGACTAGTTTATATGCATAACAAGCTATTATAGCTCCTATAGCTGCCATAGCACTTATACCATCTATCATAGCAATGCCTGGTTGCTGAAATATACAGACAATATTTGGGACATATGCGATAGACTTTTATTACATAAATAAGCAGGCTAATATATATGCCAAACTATTTAGTAAGTAATAATGGTGTTTTCATCACAATGAGAACAAAGTTCCCATAGATAGAACAAGCCATTATGGCTACTATAGCTACTATAGCTACCATAGCAGTTATGGTATCTATTATAGAAAACTTTTGACTATTATAGTAATACTATAGCTGTTATAGAAGCCATAGAAACATGCTTAGCTATATAGCAAAATGGTTTTTCCTGATGTTTTCCTCGCTCCAGCTCTTCTTTCTTTTCTATTAACTCCAAAATAGATTCTAGCCTCTTCCAATTTGACTGGGGGACTTTTTCCCAATGTTTTCCCCTTGTCACTGCTGCTCCTCTGGGTACACAAGCTGCAGTTTTTGATATTGACACTGCACATAGACATATGCCCATTTCTCCGGAAGATCACCTACATGCTACAATTGTTTGGGACAACAAAGTATACATTGACCATACTGCCTGTTTTTGCTGTGCAAGCTCTTCTGGTATTTTTGGGAGGACTGCTGATGCAATCATTGCAATTTTTCATCACCATCAAATCTGCAACATTGTCAAGTGGGCAGATGATTTTGTTTTTTCCCGCTATGCCACTGCCTCTGATTTTCTTTACAACGCTTCTCTTATCTGGTCAATTGCTGATCAGCTCAGATGGCCATAGTTACCTGAAAAATCCATAGACTTCAACTCCTCTTTTCCTTATATTGGTTTCTCTTGGAACCTTGTTACTCATTCTATTTCAATTCCAGACAACAAAAATTTGAAAAATCTTCTCTGGCTCACTGCCTGGACTCCCAGTCAACCGGTTTCAAAGTCTGATTGCCAAGTCCTTATTGGGACTTTGAACCACTGCGCTATGGTCCTCATAGCTGGCCGCACACATCTTCCCGCACTTTTTGCTTTGCTGCACAATTTCCACCCTCCGCACATTGTCTTTCTTGCTGTCACATCCCTTCTGATGTTCTTGTTGAGATTTCTTGGTGGTATTTCTGCCACCTGCCCCTTCTACTTCCATTATCTTTGTTGACACTTCTACTTTCTGGGGTATAGGTTTTGTTTTCCAAAACTGCTTTCTTGCTTGGCAACTCCTGCCTTGCTGGAAATCTGATGGTTGTAATATTGGTTGGGCTGAAATTTTTGCTATTGAACTTGCTCTCCTGGCCATTATTCATGCAGGCCATTCAGGCTGCCATTTTATCTTACGTTCAGACAATTCAAGTGTCTTTGGAGTCTTCTCATCTGGCTCCTCCCGTAACTCTCAGAAAAATTCTGTCCTTTGTTGCATCATTATCCTTTTCCAAGATCACCATTTATGGTTCTCTACTGTTTGGGTTCCTTCTGCCAACAATCACAATCTCGCTGATCCTCCCTCCAGAGGAATTTGCCCCCCATTCCTTTCTCCTTTTCCCCATCCCCCCCTGATTCCTCATCATTTATTACTGTTTGTAGCCCCTCCCTCTGTATTGCACTTGTAGCAAGTTCCTAAAATGATCAATTTTTTTGCCCCTAAATAGAAAATTGAGTTGTTCTCACATGACAGCTATCTGTGTTACACTTATTGGCTTCCCCCACAATATTTATCCTCATGAACCCCCTCTCCCCCGCCGGAATCAAGTCCATTGTCTCAGAAACAGTTTTACGCATACATCCTCCCCACTCCACCATTTCATCCCTTCATGCCCACACCAACTCCATCTTAATCAACACCTGAGCACCTTCCACTATCACAAAATATGACAGTGCTATCTGCAAATTTCTCCATTTTTGTGATACTTACTACATTCCCCCCAGCAACCACCTACCCGTCTCTGAAGACCTCCTCTGCTCATTTTCTGCTTTCCATGCTGGTTAGCTTTCTTTCTTGGCTATTTATAACACCTTATCAGGTGTTTGTGCTTGGCACATTGCAAACAATCGCCCTTACAACTCTGGCCTTTGTCTTGAATATGTCCTTAAAGGCTGTGTGTTACAATAACACAATTTTCGGACCTTTCCTTCATTTTCATTCTCCGCTTTAACCTTGTATGCTTTAGCTTTCACACATGGTGCCACGCGGCACTTCCCCTTTTGTTCAAACTCCTCTTTCTCATGCAGTGTTGCCTTCTTATTTTAGATACAACTCTCTCACACAGTGGAGCTGGTCATGTGGGCTAGGCCCCATGACATCATCAGCCACTGACTTTATCAACTGTACAGTACATAAGTACAAACACTCTGTATTAGTATATATACCCCAATAGATCCAGGAGACTCCTTAGCAAGTCCTCCTGTTGTATACCAACAAACTCTCTGCAGCTTAAGGGGTAACCACTCCCTCAACATCTTCTTTATAGTGTGTTCTTGTGTGCGCCAGAGTAACTAACTCTTGGTTGTTACACTGTGAGCGCATCTCTCCTCCACATCTAAAGCAGCCCCTGCGCCCGCCTGTCACTCACGCTATGCTCCTCACCTTGTATGACAAGCTCGACTCCACCAACTCTTTCAATACAGCCTGCCTTGCAGCAGCATTCATCACCTTCTGGGGTTAGGCTTGACATGCGACATCTTCTGTCATCAGTTCATGCATCCTTTTCCTTCCCTGGATGAAGACTAAGCGTAACACTGGCAAAAATATCTTTATTAGCAGGCAAGGTGACAATTCTGACGCTTGTACTGCCCTTGTAATACACCTCCTCATTAATGATCCCCCTCCACCTCCTTTTCTCCTATAAGTCCCCATAAGGCCTTCTTCCACTCACAAAACAAAAATTCTGCAGTGTGTAAACTCTGTTCTCACTGTATCTGGGTCTCCCACTTTGACCGGCTACTAAGTACCTTTTGTTTTGTGCAGTGTTCCACCCCATATTATCAAGGCGCTGGAACATTGGTCCTCCAATGCTTTCCTCCTCTATTGGTATTGTCTTGAACTTATAGCACCTCCTTACATTGAACTTCTACCAAATTGCACTGATTAGTAACTACTCATTTTGTACATACCGTGTTTCCTAACAATTATTCTTTTCTTTCGTTTTTCTGGCTGGTGCCTCTTTTGTTGCATCCTTCATTTCACTCTTGTCTGATTTTTGGGTGGACTCTTTCCACCTTAAATACTCCCAGGTCTGGATAGAACCTATTCTGAGTAGCCACTCACTCCAACCTTGGCTTCTCGGATCCCGTTCTCCAGACCCCGTGAACCTAAGCAAAGTACCCAACATAATGTGGCTTGCACATGACTTTTGTGAACACCATCCCAAAAGATTGGTCATTTGCAGGCTTCTCCCGCCAAAGCCCCCAGGCTCCTCTCAGAAGCTTTCAAGTGGGCTGTCTTATAAGTAGGAGAGAGTGTTTTCTAACAACAAGAGGTGATATTGATTTCTTTAATGACACCGACCCTGAAAAGTATGCACATCTGCTTGCTTCATGTTGGCTTGAGCCAGTAGTTGCCAAAAGATAGAGCATTGACAAATGGAACAGTCTGACAGGACACATTTGCAAGATTGCACAAAATATTGGAGGAGATGTATATTTGTCTGAAATATTGTCAAGGCCTTAAGGCTATGACTACAATCTGCTCCAAGTGTCTTGGGAGCTATGTACAATTTGAACATTTTTATCCTTACATACTAACATACAATAAATATGCAATATACAAGTCTTCTCGTGCTCAACAACTGCCGATATTTGACTCACAAGGTAATCACTGCCCTCCTAAAACTCTTAATCAAGCTCCATTTGCACAACCAGTATTAGCGTCCTTCTCACTATGCCACGGACCTGTAGGCAATACTGAGAAACAGATATTAGGGGCACGTTTCCATTCTATACAAAAACAGTCAGTCAGTTTTCCTCGTCATTGCCTGCTAAGCATGCACTAGTTTACCCATTTTGCTTCTAGCTAGATATTCATTCAACTCATTTCACACTTTACCAGTTTATTTACTTATTTCACCGTTAATTTGTATTGCAACTAACACCCACTAATGTACAAAGCTATCGTGTGTAACACACTAGTGTGAAAATACTATTACACTCTCTGTTTCACAAAGTGGGGACCTGACCTCTGAGTAGTTGTGTTACATAGCCTGAAATAATTTTTTTGTGAAAATGTAAGCTCCGGCACATAGAAAGGGGCGCTTATATGGCTGCCTCCTATTTTTTCTCTGCCAGAAACTCTACACTATCCTAGTCCCAACTATGGCGGTTTATGAGCCTGATGTTGTGAAGATAGATAATTCTGATGAATTGCCTATTAGGCAAAGAACAGACATCCTTTGAAAGTGAATGGGATATGAACGCGAGTTTACTCCAAGAGGCAGCCTAATGTAACCTTAACTCACCTCAAATAGATCCAAAAGTGTGTTAGCACATAGGCAGAGCGCTATGATTTCACCAAGTATTGCACAGAAGTCCCAGTTGTTGTGGGAGGCCAGTGTTATCGAATATCTTGATTTTGTCTACATGAAAACAAGGAAAAATCCTAAAAACAAAAAAGTCTTGTATCCCCCAAGCCTGCCAAAGGTCCTCACTTTGTCTTACTGTCCTATTTTCACCTTGAAAAGTGTTATTGTGATTCTGTTATTGAACCATCAACCACTTACTTGAAGCCATTGAATGTAGTCCATCTATTCTACACGGATTTGAAAAGAAGCCCTAGGTGTCAGTTAGAGGATGTACGTGGAGGAACAGGCACTTGGGTACCAACTGCAATGTCGAGCCTGTCAAGATGGCAGTGATAATGCCCAGATGGGTGGTGACTACTGTTATGCCACAACCAACTACACATTTTGGGAGAAGTGGGAATTTTGGGAAACTCCAGGTGAGTCTGAGCATGTTCGTCCAATACTGTCAAATGCCAACTCACTGGTAATAACCTTTCTTCAACAGCTAACATTCCAATTTTCTTCAAGTGTTGTGCTATCACATATGAACTATTTGACTTGATCATTGAATTCCACCCTACAAGCACATCTTCAGGATTATTGGAAAACAACAAATGTAGGTGTTTCATTTTTTCTTGAATGTATCAGGCTTGCTGTCTGAATCCTGGTCATCAGAACTTCATTTACTTCAGTATCATCAACATGTAAAGGCATATCTTTCCAGTTTTCAGTGGCGGTGTGGACGTGTGACCTTGCTTCAATGCCGTCCTCTAGAGAGTGTTTCAAGTCCAAATGAGGACTATTGGGACAAGACAATGTCAGGCAAGTTGATCACTGATATTTTTTTGGAGGACAACAGATGTACAAGAGAATTGGAGTCATGTGAATACCTGCAAACTTTATCAGGTATGTGCCTTGTGTTTTGATGGGAACAGGAATGTTAATCTAGACTTACACAGGCATATGTATCTCTATCAACAACATGTTCAAGGCTGCCAACAAAGTGACAGTGGCAACCAAGCAAAAGGCCCAAATCAGGATGCTGAAGGGTGGGATTTTGAGCGTAGTTAACAAGAGGAATGAGATTATTGCATGGGTAGGCCATGATTTCTATGACTTTGGGACAGCTTCCTTACCACAAATTATATGCCAGAGACTTTGTCAAAGCCAATCAAACACAGAGATAGAGGAACTGTTTGTAGGGCTTAAACATCATTACAATGAGCTTGGTATTGCTTTACCCGAGATGGTCATTGCTGACAATTGCTGTCATATCCATAGTGCTGTGCTCAGAGTGATGCCAGATGCACAGCTTGGCCTCAACGTGTTTCATCCCATTATGCGGTGTGTTCAAGGCTCTACATTTTGGATCACTAACTCCTAATTACTATTATTGTAGGTACCTTGCAACTATTGTTAATGGTACAAAAAATCCATTTTGCACTGCAGTTGCGAGGGAGCTTAGCAACGCAATATACAAGACAAGAGCAAATTAGGGCAAGCCAGCTGAGTACCAAAATAAAGAGGAGCAAGAAGCATTACTGCTAAGGGTATTTGAGAAGTATAGTGCAAAAGGAGGTTAAGTGTCCTTTCTTGTTGCATATGAAGTGTTACGATAACACAATTTTCGGACCTTTCCGTTATTTTCATTCTCCACTTTAACATTGTACTTTAGGTTTCACACATGGTGCCACGCGATTTCCCCTTTGGTTCAAACTCCTCTTTCTCGTGCTGCGTTGCCTTTTCTCTTATTTTAGATTCAACTCTCTCATGCAGTGGAGCTGGCTATACGGGCTAGACCCTATGACATTATCAGCCACTGCCTCTATTAAACTGTATAGTACATATGTACAAACAACCCTGTAGTAGTATATAAACCCCAATAGATCCAGGAGACTCCTTAGCGAGTCCTCCTGTTGTATACCAACTAACTCACTGAAACCTGAGGGGTGATCCCTCCTTCTCTCTTCTTTATAGTGTGTTCTGTGTGTGCCAGAGTAACTAACTCTAGGTTGTTACATGAAGCACCTTCCCTCTTTCCTTCTTGATTCTTCTTCGTCTTTAGTCAATCTTCTGGCGCTGGTGGACAGTCCACTTTTGCGGTTTCTGTCATTCTGCCTTTCTTTGTTTCTGGCGCCCCATGTTCCTTCCGAGATAGCGTTGGCACTGATCCAGTTGGCGTCTAGGTTTGCCACTGTGCTCATCCAATCTTTGATGGTGAGTAGTTCCTTTCTGGTGAGTGCCCCACGAAGGAGGGGTGATCGGATAGCTTTTTGATAAACCATGATCATGGCTTTGTTGTTGATGCTGCTCTTCCCAGCATCTAGCATGAACCTTGAGTTGAATGCTACTGCACTTTCCCCTTGTTCCATCTTCATTTTCATCAAGGCAGCCGAGGCCATTCCTTTGATGTTTGCCGTTCTGAAACTGGCTGTGAAGGTTTTCATGAAGTCTGCCCATGTGGGGTAGGCGTTCTTTTCTTTGTATTTGGTCATCTTGGCTTTGCTCCATGATGCGGCATTTCCATCTTTCATGTAGCTGAGGGCCACATATACCTTGTTCTTGTTGGAGTTGTAGATGGTGTCATTGATATCAAAGTGTAGATTGGTGGACGATATCCACCTTTTGTAACAACCAAGAGTTAGTTACTCTGGTGCACACAAGAACACACTATAAAGATAGTGATGAGGGAGTGGTTACCCCTTAAGCTGCAGAGAGTTTGTTGGTATACAACAGGAGGACTCGCTGAGGAGTCTCCTGGATCTATTGGGGTATATATACTACTACAGTTTTGTTTGTACATGTGTACTATACAGTTAATGAAGGCAGTGGCTGATGATGTCATAGGGCCTAGCCTGTATGGCCAGCTCTACTGCGTGAGAGAGTTGAATCTAAAATAAGAGAAAGGCAACACGGCGCGGGAAAGGGGAAATGCCGCGTGGCACTATGTGTAAAAGCTAAAGTATAGAGTTAAAGCAGAGAATGAAAAGAAGGGAAATGTCCGGAAATTGTGTTATCGTAACACCTTTGGGCTTTATCTGGGGTTCCATCTAAGTCATCAATTTTCCTGATCATTGTGGGTTTGGAGGCTGTAACGTTAGACATGGTGCGTGGTGGTGGGATAGGGGATGGAGTAGGTGTGGCTGGGAGTATCTGTGGCGTGGGAGGTGGTATCAGGTTGCCATTTGCCACAAATTCTTCAAAGTCGTTCTTGTCATAGAGGTTTTCTACGGGTACTGGGGGATCGTGTTGTGTGGTGGGTAGTAGCTGTGGGTGGCTTTCTGCATAGTACTGTAGCCAACGTGTTCTGGCTTTGTAGAAAACATCTGCTTGTTCTCTGGTGTGGAGTCAGGTTACCTTTCTTGTCAGGATGACATCGGTGGTGTTGCTGTCTGTGGGTTGTCTGAGCTTCCTCTTGCTCTTTGGGATCTGGTTGTTGGTCATTGCAACGTCTTGTCAACTTTTTCTTCCCAAACCTAAATAGGTGGGACTTCTAGTTGAAATACAATTTTTTTGTTACGCACAAAATGCTTAACAAAGTTTGAGGGTTTGTCGAGGTTTGTAAAGAGACTTAACCAAGGACAAGTTTGAGAATGTAGTTCAGAGTTGAATTCTTCCAATGAAAGTTGGTCTTCTTCTGAGTAGAAGTCTTAATCTTAGGAGTCTAGCTTTGTAAGCGTAAACTGCGTAGAACCGTATTGGAGAATACTACTACTGTTACATGTGTATTTATAATAGAAAGAATTGGTGATAGGAGTTAGGTCCTATCTAGGGCAGGTCAGTCCATTGAGGACTAAGTACTATACTAGGTAATGCAAATGCGAGAGGAACAGAAATGTACGTGAAGGAAATGAGTCATTGGTCCGATGGTATAACCAATGAGTAAAGAGAAATGAGTAGTTTTTAAATGTTCAATAGAAATTGTAACAGCAAGTACAATGCTCGGCTTAAAAGGGCAGGAGCTGTGTTCATCAGGAAAAACCCCCGAGCTCTGTTTGACAAACTTGGGGAGATTGAAGCAAAGATCTCTCAAAGGATTGCAACAGGAAACTTCAAATGTAAGTAATGATCATATATTGCATTTTTAATTCTACAGACACACTAACTATTTGTTTTAGCTCAAAAGGGCAATGACCACTTCTGGATGAAACATTGTTATGCAATAGCTGTCAAGTCTGAGCAAGCAGGGAGCATAGACCTTACCAAGCAGGTATGTCACGCTATACTAAACTACCAGTTTGCTCACTTGCATATTTTTTTAGCAAAAAACACAGACCTGTTCACGCTGTTGCATAACCAAATACCCTGGTGGGACAGGGTCACAAGATAACCATAAGAAAATGTTTTGTTCTGATGGTGTCATGATCAAGGTGAGTAGTGTCTGTCCTGCCAGTGAACACCCACCTTGGCCTTAGCCTGAAGGAATCTTCTCAAATGGGTTATTTTTCTATCCAGTCGCTTTTTTGTCGGCACTATGCAACATGTACTATGCAACAATCATTCAAGGCATTGATGGTTCTCCTGGCAATCAAATAGAACATCACGCATTTGCTATGATGTTTGTCAAGTATATCAAAGCTGGGCCTGATGGAGCTGACCCCGTCTCCCCCAGTATTACAGCCAAACAAAGTCACGTGAAATCCACGTGACTTCTAAATTTTGTGTAATTTACTGTACTTGGCAATAATTTCTGCGTGTTTTCAAGTTCCTACTCTATATTGCCTGCTACCTCTATACTTTTCTAATGGAATGCTCACAAAAATCATGCAAGAACATAGTTCCCAAGCAAGACATTGGTAAAAATAGCCTGCCATACAAGATGTGTTCCTCCTGTAGAGAAAAAGCAAGAATGGCTGTCACTGCACACCGAACAAAAAGGAGACGTTGTCGATGATGAGAACTGTTGTTAGAAAACCACACCCAAAAACAAACTAACAAACAATCCTCCCAGATTCTACAGAACTTGTTTATGGGCTTTGCCTCCTAGAACAGTGGGTGCTCTGGTTGTTTGTGGGGTGGTATGTATGAAGATCCTTCAAAGTAAAACCCAGAAATGTATGAGTGTGGGTTTTAAGGAGGAGGGATAGTTGAATTGATAGAAGATAGGGGCTTAGTGACGAGTATAGATGAGCACTACCTTGCTAATCGTAGCACATGGTAGGTTTGAGAACAACAAGGATGACAAGGTGACAAGATGACAAGGTTCCCAGTGATAGCAGGCTCCTGACACACAAACTGTAGTGCTCAGAAGGACTCTAATCGAAAGGGATAACAATGACTTCAAAAGTGGAAAGTGACGATGACAGCAATTAACAGTGGTAGCAGTGGGAAGTGTTGTGACCACACTGGATCACAAGTAGAAGAGTAGTGAACTTGAGATTAGAGAAGAAGTCTGGATTGGAGTTCTTGTTGTTTTTTTTGTTTTTACAAGGTAAAATACAGGGGTTTATATATATAGTAAAAAGAAAGGTAGGCTATGCACAGTATAGCTGCGCAAAAAGAATGAGAAAGAACATGAAGGAAGGAATGTACGCTGACGAATCCTGCATAGTTGCTACAGGATAAGATTGTCAAAATAAGGGAAAGAAAGGGATAGAACAATGAATGCTGTGAGTAATGTCACAGGTTTGTACAGCCATAAAGTAAAGTCCAATAGCAAAAAGAGAGCAGGAAAATCATGATGTCATGGGAAGAAGATGCAGTAAAAAAAGGGCAAGGCAAAACACTATCAGTATCAACACAGTTCCTTTATTGTCAGTCAGGCATTCTAAAAAAATATGTGTCCATAAAAATGATTCAAAAATCAAAAATAATCGCACTGTAAATGAATGTTCTGCTGAAAAAAAAGAAACTGGAGCCACCGGTCCACCACCTAGTCCATATCCGACAGTTCCATGGCCTTACCAATGGACTGGTTGTGTTGGACCACCTGATCAAACGAGGGAGGGAGAGGAGTAGTTCCAATTTGGAACAAGTGAGTCCCAGGCAGCGTGTGGTAGGTGTAGCTGTAGCAAAGACGATGGACAAAATATAAGTGTACTCAAGTGAATGGGACAGCAATGAACATGGGCAACGCAAGGGGATAAACCTTCCCCAGCTCAAAAACTACCCACCCACACTCCAACCAGGCAAGACAAGCGACTGATGTTTTGATAGTATGTGATGGCAGATCGACGTCATGAAGATGGACCTGTTGCCCTATTTGGACTGGCCGCCGGGGCTTTGCTGATATCAGCAGTGGCACGTGGTAGTTAATGGATTGGCAACGGAAACGGATAAGAAGTGGTGACATCAGAAATGGTGGGGGTGCAAATAAGATGAGGAGGAGGAGGGTGGAGGTGATGAAGAGGTCGATTAGAATGGGGATTCAGAAACGACTGTCAGGTGAGAATAAAAAGGAGAGGAAGGGGCCCATGGTGGGGCTAGGCAAAGGAAGGGGAGTAAGGGAAACGACAAAAGCAAGGGCGCAATGCAATGTGTAGCCAGTGGCGACGCAAAAATTTGCCGAAGTGCCGAAACACGGAAAGTACCGGATGGAAAAGCAAAGGTGAGTGCAACTGGATTGCCTAATAGAGGTGGTACTGATCAGCCACAAGTTCTAAAAAGGCAATATTAAGTACTATTCCACGTGGCACTGTGCCTGTATGGCGCAAAGGCGAGTCTTTTCGAATATTCGCTTCGTTATTGACACCTGTCCATGCTACCAATCAATTTTGGTGCATGACATCCATGGACAACTTGAAATTGCAACTGTCCCCAGTTGCTTCCATAAAGGTAGGGTCATAGGGAACGAAACATGGCAACACATTAAAGGGTCATGTCAGCATAAAATTCGTTCAGGTAAGTCATTAATCGTTATTTTCATCATCTGAGTAGTCATGCTCATGGTCAGGTTCGTCTTCTGGTTCATCTAGGTCGTTATCATGGTCATCCAGTTTGTCCAAGAGGGGCATAGAGTGGTGGTTGAAATAGGGAAGTAGGCAAAATGCTGCAATTCCTCTTCGTGATACTGATCCATCCATTTCTTTTAGAACATATGATCCTCCTTTAGTACGTCGCACAACTTCATAAGGGCCATTGTAACAAGGCTTTGCTTTACGATCCAGCTCTTTCTCAACCTGAGTATTCCGCACTAGAACAAGCTCTCCAGGCTGGTATTTGTTCTTGAACATCCTTCGTGCATAGAGTTTCTCAAACTGCGCTTTAGATCTGAGACGAATTTTGCGTATAGTGAGTGCAGCTTCTTGCAAATCGTCCTGTCTCTTTTCTAGTTGACGAATGCGCAGAGCAATGAGGTCTTCTGTTGACATTGCAGTATGGAATCCATGAACAAGGAAAGTCGCTTCTGTCAGATCGAATGGTAGGACTGGATCAACTCCATGCAACAGATAAAAAGGACTGAATCCAGTAGAACGACGAGTAGTGACCTTGTCTGCAAAGAAGGCATGATGGACCTTGGTTGGACATAAATCGACATTCCCTTCACAGGACTTGACAAGTGCTTCTCTTATGACGAAGTGTCCACGCTCAACAACACCATTTGCCTTGGAATTGTAGGGAGAAATGCGAATATGAGGGATCTGGTAACGTTCCACAAGCTCTTCAAATGCTCCTTTGACTTCGCTTCCATTATCTGTGACAACTTCTCCTATAGCTCCATAGCGACAGATGATTTCTTCCCAGAAAAAGCGAGCAAGATTATGTGCAGATGCTTTCTTCAATGCTCTTCCTTCTGCAGCAAGTGACAGATCATCTCTTGCAGCAACAAGATATCGATATCCTCTGGCCTTGGGCATGAGCATAATGTCAACATAGACTTTGGTGAAGATTGTAGGAGGTGATGAGATGGTAAGTGGGACTTCACTTTTGCGTACACTTCAAATCTGGCATTCATGGCAGGTGCGAACATGATGCTTGACATCCTGTAACATATGGGGCCAGTAAAAGCGCTCTCTGACTGTAGAGAATACACCATTGACTCCTCTGTGACCAAGCCTTTTGTGTGCTTCAGTAAGGATGTGAAGTCGAAGGTCAGGATTGAAGATGACTTTGAGAGGAGGAGCAGAGTGACGACGCTTGAACATGCTGTCCCCTTTCAAGAAGAATTGAAGTGATTGCTTGACAAAACACTTTTGAGCTTGAAGAGAGGAAAATATAGGCAGCTCCATAGTTTGAAGAAAGTGGAAGATTCGACGAAGAATATTGTACTGAGAAGAATCATTGGTAAGGAACGAAGGGAGTGACATAGGGTGATATGGGAGAGGTCTGGCAAGATCAACAAAAAGAGCGATATCATCAAGCCAATCATCTGATTCTTGAGCATCTTCAAAGTCTTCCTCTGTTGGTTGACGACGAGATAATGCATCAGGACCACGATGACGATCAGCAGGTATGTGAATGAGCTTGAAATCAAAAAGAAGGATGCCCTGAATCCAACGATTGATAGTGGCATTAGGCTGAAGATCTGGATCGTTGAGCATGCCTTTGATATACTTGGCATCCACCTCCACATGCAAGTGTTTTACTCCTGCAATGTAAAGGCAAAAATGACGAAGTGCTCTGAACAAACCATATAATTCTAGCTTGGGTTGACTGTAATTTGCCTCTCTATCATTCATGGGAATAGAGCCATAGCGAGCTGGACGCTTCCTTCCATTTTCATCAAGCTGGGAGAGGATAAAACCAACAACAATCTTGCTGGTATCAACTGAAAGAACGACTGGGTTGTGTGACGAATAATTTATAGGGTGAAGTGCTGGTGCAGAAGATACTGCATGCTTCAGAGCATCAAATGCTTCTTGTCTGCGTTCATCCCATTGAAATTCAGCTCCTTTGTGATACAATTCTGTCAAGGGGCATGCAAGAGCAGAGTAATTGCGGATCCAAATGCAAACTGTGCCACATAGACCAAGAAAACTGCGAACGTCTTTGGGAGTCTGGAGAATTGGCCATTTAAGAATCTTGTCCACCTTGGTACTGTCAGGGAGACGACCTTCTGGGCAGCATACTTGTCCGACAATCACAACTTGGGGACGACATAACTGAGTCTTCTTTCCAGAGAAAGTTCCGCCAGCATGACCAACTCTATGCATAATGCAATGAACATCAATGGCATGTTCCCATATAAATCTACAAATGCCAGGGTTGCCAGGAATGGTCTCTGGGTTACCATCTGCATCTTCATAACGAGAAGTAGGTCCTTTGATTGGGAGGTCATCAACAAAGATATTGGCAATATGCGGAATTTCGTCTTGCAGGATGAAAGTCATGCAATTCTGGAATTCTGGAACGGAATTGGTGAATCCCATAGGCATAGAAGTAATCCTCAGAAGTCCTAGTGGTGATAGAAAAGAGGTAAGGTCATGACTGTCAGGGTGCACTTTTTGAGCATCAAATCCCCAAAAGAGATCAAACACAGTATAGCATTGAGAACCAGCAAATGGCTCCACAAAGTCGTCAAGGATAGGTGGTACTCCTGAGTCTTTGATAGTGACTGCATTAAGTGGCTGAAGATCATGGACGATGTGAATCTTGCCATTCTTCTTCTGAACGCAAAACCACTTAGAGCGATAAGACGACTGGCTAGGCTCATAGACTCCAGCTTTGATTTTGTCTCTGAGCAATTCTATGACTTTATTCTTGATTCCAGGAGGAATAGGAATGTTCTTGTATTCCCAAGGGACATGTGGGAGAACAGGTATAACGTAGGGAGAGAAGTAGTCTTCTCTGAACGTTCCTCTGTCAGTTTCCTCGAAGGCAAGGCTGCGCTGATTGAGTATCATGATGTGAGCGAAAAGCTTTTCCTCTTCTGGCCATAAGAATCCATCAGAGTTTAGCTTCATTTCGTCATAAAGGCGCTCCTTGGTGAGCTTCGGCGTGGGAATGAATTCTGGGGGAAGGACAGGAAGGGGTGGGAGCGAAAGGAGTGGGTCTTCTGGAAATGACCGAGTGACATGTGCATCTTCTGGGAATACTCCAGGAACAGGTTTGACTCTGCATTCAACACATTTGTAGGCTCCAAAACTCGACCAATCAGGTGCTGGTACAGGTATAGGGTCCACAATATCTATCATATAACTATGGTCAAAACAAAAAGCGTTCAAAGAAGGAAAGTGCCGTGGTAGTTTTGCGTCATCTCGGACAGAATAGGATAGGGATGAGGTCGGATGTTTTACAAGGGGGGAATGAAAAAGATTAGATAAGAACAAAAGGGGAACATAGACAATAGAAAAAGAAGTTGGTACAAGAGTAAAGGAAGGAAAAACCGGATAACATAGAAATCTAAGAGGCCATTTTGTACAAGTAATAGATATGTAACAAGAAAGAAGAAAAAGGGAAAAAGTGGCATATGGTCCAAAAGCGCTGAATAGAGTGTTAAGTAAGAAAGGAATATAGAAACGTATCACCAGCATCTACCTCAAACTTCAACTGCGGCACTAGCAAGCACCTCAGTGCTGGTGGTAAATGTTGATGCACTGGATGGATGAATTGTCCTGTTGTGGAGGTGAATAACCTCAACACGTTCTCGTCGACAATAAGTGCAAATATGAGGGAAGACAAAACCGTAGAAGAGGGCGAGGACAAGTAACACTCCCACCACAATCTCGATGATGAGAGCTTCTTTAGTAATATGAAACCCTTTGAGCCAGGACATGTTAGGTGCTTGTAATGCTCAATGTAAGCGTTTAGGATGGAGTGAAGATGTGTTAGAATCGGGGTAGAATTTCTGGCACTGGTGTGAATAATCAATAATGGCTGAGCTGATGGTGACGTGGGAAAATGATGATAGTGATGCATGGAAGTTCAAAGATATGGAGTAATATTGGATGATATATTGATGGAAGGTTGATGCTCCACTCCTATTATTGTGGAAAGGGATAGCTGAAGGGGCGGTGAGGAATTAATCTCCCTTTCATCCTCTTGACTATCATTGCAAATAGTATGCATGAGTGTGCAATTATGGTGCATGAGTGTGCAATTATCAGGAGAAATTGACGAAGCAATAGTAGCATTGGTAGAGGATGGTGATGGGGGTGAGTCACTGATATTTGATGGTAACTGTTGACGCAAATATGGGGGTGGTGATTCATCATCAGTGGATGAGTCATCATTAATTAATCCATTTATATGATTGTGTATCGGCTCCAAATCGGATTCTTGTATTACTTCCACCGTCACATTGACTTGACCATTCATATCACGTGATGGAGGTCCATTTATATCTTCATCAGTGGGAATTGGAAATGATTCTGTTTGAGGAAAGAAGCGGATATGTGCAGTTCCTGAGCGACTGATAATGGATTGTGCTCTTCCAGGTCTATGATTCTGGTCAAACCGCAAATGAGCATGGAGCAGGACATAATCAGCATAAAGGTTGTGGTTTTCATCGAAGCCATGGTGTCCTCTCATGACATAGTCTGAAGTCAGTGAGAGTGAACTCATGTTGTGACTATATCGAAGGTTGTTCAGTAGACCAAAAATAGCAGACCTTTCATCTTCCCTGATTGAGCGAATAAAGTCAAAGAATGTTTCAAAGGTGCTGGCATTGGGGATAGGGATAGGGGCTTCAATAGTTTCTTCTAGACAAGTTTCCAGGTCTTGCAGTGCTCTGAGAGTGCTAGAATTTTCGATTGAACCAATTGGGGAATTATCTGGAACAGGCACAGTTTCTTCTTCTGGGGTGACACTTTCAGCAGCAGTTTCCGATTCATCAGTATTTCCATCTAGATCTTCTCCATTGAAGTCATAGTCCGTGACTAAGAAGCTCGACACTGTATTGGATACTCCAGATACTGGTTTGACATAGTGAATAGGACGATGATCTGATGATACCTTGACTTCAAGGGCTGGGTTTTCGATTTTGCCATCCTTTCTGAAGACGAGATAAGTGCCATTAAGTCTTTCTTCAATGCTGACATAGTTCCCATGTGTCCATGGTCATCCAAGAAGTAGATCGTATCCAGTGTCTTTCCCAACAAAGATATTGGCATAAGTTTTGACTTCTCCGCAGTATAAAGCCACGTTGTTGACTAAACCATCAAGTCTACCAAATCCTCCATTGGCATCTTTGACTACAGGTCAAATACTAGTATCCATGGGAAGGCGAATGAGATTTTCCCAAATAGTGCGGCTGACTATATTGAGAGCAGACCCTGAATCAACAATAGCTGTAATAGTTTCGCCATTAGAGGTAACAGGAACACGAATAAGGTCGGCATGAGTGATGGCAAAAAGTGATTCAGCTGTCAAGCTTTGGGGTTTGTTGTCTAGCCCAAAATTAACGCGCTTGGGTTTCATCATTTCTTGGAGATTCTGGGAAACTTCTTTTGATAGACCAATGACATTACCAATAGATAGGGGGATAGGGGTGCTGAGAATTTGATCAATGATGGCTTTGGAGTCAAGATTCTGCGAAAGTGTAGATGAAGTCTTGAGTGGTTTCTTCTGTTTATCGGCAGGGGGATTCTTCTTGGTGGTCTGGGAAGCGTCTTCCATGATTACATCATCATTAGTGGGATCAAAGATAGGCTGTGCAATATCAAAGATGTGTGGTTTTGATGGAACAGGGGCTATGGTTGGAGCGACAGGCTTCTCTTCTTCTTTCTTCTTTCCTTTTACAGCTTTGGCCCAATCTGGTTTAGGAGGAATGTAGACACCATCAAAGACTTGCTTGCGCTTCTCCTTAGACACTCTGTCTGGACGATCTACTGCATAGACAGGCTCTTCATCTGAATCAGAATCAGAGTCAGCTACTTCAGCAATGGACATGAAAGAAGTCGTAGTGAGTAGGTTAGACTTGGGGATAGTGCGATGTACAGCAGTTGCTATGGGTTCCTCTCTTGATCGCATGATTCTAGACCCATCAGACATGACAAAGCCACCAGTGTCATCCTTCTTGACAATTCCCTTTGACAGTAAGTCAAGCATATCTGCGCATTCATTAACTCCATGACCAGTTTTTCCGCATCCATAGCAAAGGAAGGGAACACGAGGTGCTGTAGGCAGAGTGGCAGTGGGTGGAGCAGTAGGCTGAGTGGGTAAGTTGCTGCTTCCTTGAGAGGATCAAGATGGTCTGGCTGACTGGTTCATGAAAGTGGGAGGGCGAAGTATAAGTCGAGCATCAGTGTCAAGCTTGATAGCACAATAGTAGAGCAGAGGATAGTTAGGATCTTTGATTGTCATAGAACCCAACTTCTTGATAAGTGTTTCTACTTCATCTTGCTTGACAGCAGTGTGCTCTTCTTTGTCTAAGGAATGAAGGGTTTTCTTCGACTTGGAAGGACTCAACAGCTTTCTCTCTTTCTCTGTCTCAGGGGTGCGCTTTTTCTCTTTCTTCTGCTTGGTGGTTTTCCTGATATAACGAGGTGGTTCTGCCTCTTTGTCAGAGTCAGAAGAATCGTCCAAAGAACTGGAAGAGTTCTCTGAATCCGAGTCTGAATCCGAATCATCAGAGTCAAAATCTTCATCATCAAAGCGATCTCTGCGAAGGACATGCTCTACAGCCTTGACAACATCATCAAAGACAAAAGGCTGGGAGAGATCAAGGGTAGGATCCCTCTGAAGGAGTCTGTTTTCAACGCAATGACGAAGGGTTTTGGGTAGTCCTTTCCAGAAAAAGCGATTGAATACGTCCTGGGTGATCTTGGATTTGGCAAGAAGCCATCCTCCAACACGAACATACTTCCTCATGTAGCTCTTGAAATCGTCCAGAGAGCCCATTTTCTTCTTGTGCGAAGCATTGACCAGCTGTTTAAGATGATGCTCTTTAAATTTGGCCTCTGCTTTTGCAGCATCAAAGTACTGGAGAATTTCGTCTTTGAGACTGTTCCATGAGGGCGTAATGAAGTGCTTCATTCCTTCAATAATTTCGCGAACATATGTGGAGCAGTATTGGAGAATGCTTGAGCATTTTTCATCGTCAGCAGTGACATTGTTTGCATGACAGATGCTTTCATAGTGGAGAACAAAATCCCTGACACGAGTATAGTCTCCCTTGAACTTCTTAGGAGCATAACGAGTGCCAGGAATTGGCATAGTGATGACTGAAAGAGTAGTAGGTTGATTCATAGTGGAAAATATAGGGGGTAAACGCGAAACTTGCTGAGTAGAAGCTGGTACAGAAATTGAATTACTGGAAGAGAGGGATGGGACAGATAAAGCGGTAGGTGAGATAGAAGGTGTAGATGATAAATTAGACAGTGATGGCGATGAAATGGTTGGTATTTAGCTTGAAGGAAACCACCCCTTGCGGTGGGCTCCAATTGTCGATGATGAGAACTGTTGTTAGAAAACCACACACAAAAACAAACTAACAAACAATCCTCCCAGATTCCACGGAACTTGTTTATGGGCTTTGCCTCCTAGAACAGTGGGTGCTCTGGTTGTTCGTGGGGTGGTATGTATGATGGTCCTTCAAAGTAAAACCCAGAGAGGTATGGGTGTGGGTTTTGAGGAGGAGGGATAGTTGAATTTATAGAAGATGGGGGCTTAATGACGAGTATAGATGAGCACTACCTTGCTAATTGTAGCACAAAGTAGGTTTGAGAGTGATAAAGATGACGAGGTGACGAGGTTCCCAGTGATAGCAGGCTCCTGATGCACAAACTGTAGTGCTCAGAAGGACTCTAATCAAAAGGGATAACAATGACTTCAAAAGTGGAAAGTGACGATGACAGCAATTAACAGTGGTAGCAGTGGGAAGTGTTGTGACCACACTGGATCACAAGTAGAAGAGTAGTGAACTTGAGATTAGAGAAGAAGTCTGGATTGGAGTTCTTTGTTGTTTTTTTACAAGGTAAAATACAGGGGTTTATATATATAGTAAAAAGAAAGGTAGGCTATGCACAGTATAGCTGCGCAAAAAGAATGAGAAAGAACATGAAGGAAGGAATGTACGCTGACGAATCCTGCATAGTTGCTACAGGATAAGATTGTCAAAATAAGGGAAAGAAAGGGATAGAACAATGAATGCTGTGAGTAATGTCACAGGTTTGTACAGCCATAAAGTAAAGTCCAATAGCAAAAAGAGAGCAGGAAAATCATGATGTCATGGGAAGAAGATGCAGTAAAAAAAGGGCAAGGCAAAACACTATCAGTATCAACACAGTTCCTTTATTGTCAGTCAGGCATTCTAAAAAAATATGTGTCCATAAAAATGATTCAAAAATCAAAAATAATCGCACTGTAAATGAATGTTCTGCTGAAAAAAAAGAAACTGGAGCCACCGGTCCACCACCTAGTCCATATCCGACAGTTCCATGGCCTTACCAATGGACTGGTTGTGTTGGACCACCTGATCAAACGAGGGAGGGAGAGGAGTAGTTCCAATTTGGAACAAGTGAGTCCCAGGCAGCGTGTGGTAGGTGTAGCTGTAGCAAAGACGATGGACAAAATATAAGTGTACTCAAGTGAATGGGACAGCAATGAACATGGGCAACGCAAGGGGATAAACCTTCCCCAGCTCAAAAACTACCCACCCACACTCCAACCAGGCAAGACAAGCGACTGATGTTTTGATAGTATGTGATGGCAGATCGACGTCATGAAGATGGACCTGTTGCCCTATTTGGACTGGCCGCCGGGGCTTTGCTGATATCAGCAGTGGCACGTGGTAGTTAATGGATTGGCAACGGAAACGGATAAGAAGTGGTGACATCAGAAATGGTGGGGGTGCAAATAAGATGAGGAGGAGGAGGGTGGAGGTGATGAAGAGGTCGATTAGAATGGGGATTCAGAAACGACTGTCAGGTGAGAATAAAAAGGAGAGGAAGGGGCCCATGGTGGGGCTAGGCAAAGGAAGGGGAGTAAGGGAAACGACAAAAGCAAGGGCGCAATGCAATGTGTAGCCAGTGGCGACGCAAAAATTTGCCGAAGTGCCGAAACACGGAAAGTACCGGATGGAAAAGCAAAGGTGAGTGCAACTGGATTGCCTAATAGAGGTGGTACTGATCAGCCACAAGTTCTAAAAAGGCAATATTAAGTACTATTCCACGTGGCACTGTGCCTGTATGGCGCAAAGGCGAGTCTTTTCGAATATTCGCTTCGTTATTGACACCTGTCCATGCTACCAATCAATTTTGGTGCATGACAGCGCATAACCAACAATGTCAGCTCCACAATCATCCACTTTATCTGAAAGGTTTTGGTTTGGAAGATATGGAGACATGTGAAAGAGTCTTTGCATCATCAAATACACTGGCTCCTATAGTCCAACATATCTCATACTTCCACTGGGCACAATTCTTGGACCTTCACTTTGATCAGTGGAATGTTGATAAATATCTTGAGCTAAATATGTTATCACTTTTGCTCTCCAAAGTTTTATTAATCTACAAAGGCCACTTCCTTTTAAATAACTACAGGCAGGCAATCTCTATTATCTATTATTACAGCCCGGTGGTAGAAAAATTCTAAACCTTGCATAATATTAGCAATGCAGACTTTGTACAGTAGAATTTGGAAGAACTTGCCTTCCTTGGGAATCTGTCAACAGGATTTGAGTATAACGTGATGACGGTAACTTACGTTGATGAGCTTGACAAGCTACAAAAGCTTGAGTACAAAATCTTTTTTATTTGTTGTCTCAATGATCTGACATTAATACTTTTAGGGCCAAAACCAACAAAATCACCCTAACTTTTTTGACTTACATACCTTTGCATTTTGGCTCAGATTCTGGTTTGTCCCAGCCTGCACAGCTCAGTTCTCAAGCAGCCAAAGATAAAGTAAAGTCCTTATATTAAGGTCTTACTCGGCAGAAGAAATATGTTGTATATTAAGGTCTTACTCGGAAGAAAAAATGTGTCGAAGAATTGGAGCACCAGGCTAAAATAACAACCCGTTGGGATGAATCACATTGTGAATATATTAAAGCAAAGGAGTTCATTGGGCACCAATATTCAATTTTGGTGGTTGAAGAGTTAGAGGGACTGGTTATATAGCGTCTTTTGGAGTTGTTAAAAGCTAATTTATCTGAAAATGGTGTGTTTTATGTTTAAGTAACTGATACACTCCTAATTGGCTATCCATAGGGTATAACATGCGGAAACAAATCTCTAGGGCCCTGGCAAAGCGTTTAGGAGCTATTCGAACTGCACTTCAAACATATAATTGGATAGCACCAAAGCAAAATCCTCCACAGCCTATCCTGGAGTATTCAGAAATAGTTAGCTATGCTACACCCGGTGAGTTCATGCTATTGAAATATTTGAGGCACAATATTCTTGCCAAGCCTTGGACAGTCTCAGCAAACCAGCAAATAGCCATAAAGTTCTTCAAGATTCAATGTGCAAAGGAAGAAGTTCTACAACTCAATGTTGAGGTACAAAGGCTACACACGTGGATAGATAACAAGGACAGGTTGTAACAACCAAGAGTTAGTTACTCTGGCGCACAACTCAGACAAGCAAAAGAGTAATGAGAGGGAGTGGCTACCCCTCAAGATAGGACCGAGTTAGTTGTGGGTAAACAACAGGAGGACTTGCTGAGGAGTCTCCTGAATCTATTGAGGTAAATATACTACTACAGCGTGTTTGTACTTATGTACTGTACAGTTGATGAAAGCAGTAGCTGATGATGTCAGAGAGCGCAGCCCGTGTAATCAGCTCCACTGTGTGAGAGACTTGTAGCTAAAATAAGAAGAAAGGCAGCACAGCACAAGAAGGTGGAGTTTGAACAAAATAGAAAGTGCCGCATGGCACAGTGTGTGAAAACTACAGTAGAAAGTTTAAAGAGGAGAATGAAATTTAAAGGACCAAAAATTGTGTATTGTAACACAGGTCATTATTCGAGTCCTACAATGCGACAAAAGTCAACACCTCTCTCCTTGCTGCTGAGCTTTACTTGTTGTATGCCGAACAACATAAGATTAACAATGTCCATTGTAACTGGCTACGTTGCATTTACAAGCTTGAAGGATATACCGGACAAATTTATAGCATGCTGGGTGATATGTCAGCAGGGAGCAATCATAATGAGAATGATGAGATGATTAGGACTTAACACTTATTGAAGATCAGTTAAATGATGAGGCTGTCAGACTGGAAGACTACATTCAAGGCATATCATAATGTGTTAAAGTAGTGTTGGAATATATGTTGATTCAAGTTTGCTTGACACATTATATAGGACAATAGAGCTCACCCAGAGCGTTAGAACATCAGACTTGCAGTACATTGAACATGAGGCAAACCTGAGTCATTATAACAACACACTGTTGTAGATTTGTGTAACAACCAAGAGTGAATTACTCTGGCGCACTCAGAACACACTATAGAGAAGATGAAGTTGGGGAGTGGTTACCCCTTAGGCTGCAGTGAGTTAGTTGGTATACAACAGGAGGACTCGCTGAGGAGTCTGCTGGATCTATTGGGGTATATATACTACTACAGGCTTGTTTGTACATGTGTTCTATACAGTTGATGAAGGCAGTGGCTGATGATGTCATAGGGCCTAGCCCGTATAGCCAGCTCCACTGCATGAGAGAGTTGAATCTAAAAATAAGAGAAAGGCAACACAGCGCGGGAAAGGGGAAATGCCGCGTGGCACTTAAAGTATAGAGTTGAAGCGGAGAATAAAAAGAAAGGAAATGTCCGGAAATTGTGTTATCGTAACATACTCTAGGTTTTTATAATCGGTCCAAATTTCGAATTGGTGTCTAGCACCTTCTAAGTAGTGCCGCCAGTGCTCTAGAGCTCTAATGATGGCTAGCATCTCTTTGTCGTAAATTTGATAGTTGCGCTCTGTAGGCGACAAACTATGCGATAAATAGGCACAAGGCCTCCAAAGATTGTCAGGGCATTTGATTGATAGAACAGCCCCAGTAGCAAAATCAGAAGAGTCGGTTTCTAGCCGGAACTCTTTATCTAATTCTGGAAATGCTAATATGGGCGCTGTTGTGAATGCCTGTTTAAGCTTATCAAAAGCTTCTTGTTCTTTGGCGCCCCAATGCCAAACAATGTCTTTTTTTGTGAGATCGTTCAACAGTCTCGTGATTTTCGCAAAGTTTTCAATAAACCTTCGGTAGAAATTACCTAAGCCAAGGAAGGCCCTAACTCCTTTGACACGAGTAGGTTCTGGCCATTCCAAAATAGCTTGAACTTTCTCAGGGTTCATCCTGATTCCATTCTGGCCTATGATCATACCAAGGAAGTCTACTTCCTTCACTTTAAAATTACATTTTTCGGGTTTGACGAATAGGTCCCGTTCCTGTAAGCGTCGAAGGACTTCTTGCACGATTTTGTCATGCTCAGCCTCATCGTTCGACTTCATAGATATTAATAAATCGTCAATGTAAATGACGACACAGTTCTCCATATCCGCAATGATCTCGTTAATCATGCTCTGAAAGGTCGCCGGTGAGTTGGTCAACCCAAAAAACATAACAAGGGGTTCAAAAGATCCTCGGTGGCACATGAACGCGGCCTTCCAAGTATCTTCTTCTTTGATTCGTACATTATTGTACCCCCATCTGAGATCCATTTTTGTTAAGATCTTGGCGCCAGCCAATTTGTCCACTAGCTGACTAATCAAAGGCAGCGGATACGCATTTTTAACCGTGTGCTCATTCACGTAACGATAGTCCATAATCATGCGCTTCTTACCATCCTTTTTAGGAATGAAGAACACCGGGGACGTCATAGGACTTTTGGAAGGTCTGATGTAACCCTTTCTAAGTTGTTCGTCTATGAAACTAGATACCTCATCTCTTTCTGGAGCAGAGAGCAGTATCATGTGTCCTTTTCTTGGTTTGAAGGTGTCTTTCAAATCTATAGCATGGTCCCAAGGCTTAGCCTCTGGGAAGTGCTCTGATTTGTGTTTTGAAAAGACCTTCCAGAAGTCATGGTACTCAGGAGGCACCAGCCTCTTAATCTCTTCCTCAGGTTTTACCTCATCGTCGTCATCGTCGATCTTTTCTAAAGATCTGAGCTTGTAAATGTGACTAGCGTTTAACTTTTCAAGACGCTCATCGTGACGGACATGATTTGGTTCACCCAAGTTTACACATTCCTGAGGGCAACGTGACAATGTGATAACCCCTGTCTGCCAGTTGATCTCGGGATTATGTTTAAATAGCCAGGTCCAGCCCAAGATTAAATTAATCTTCCCTAGTTGGGTAGCTTCGGCAGTGACTCATTCTCTGTGTCCTTGGTATTCGACCACAAAAGAACATTTGTGAGTGATACAGCCACCTGTGTTAAGCGTACTGTCAATGTTGTAGACAGGAATAGACATATCTAATTTTACAAGGGGGAGTCCAATTTGCTTTGCCCAGACCTGATCTATGAAGATCCCATTAGCGCCTGAATCAAGCAGGGCGCTTGTTGGGTGTACTTTGCCCCGGGCAAGGTTTTCCACGCCAACGTCTAAACAAATCTCCTTTTGGAATACATACGTGCGCATCAACACACGCCTTGGGATTTTGGGAAAGGGTGGCTCCGAAGAAGAAGGGGAAACATTGAAAGATTCATGTTTTTCTATTTTATTTTTACCGGAATCAAGCACCCTATTATTTGTCTCACCGGGGCCACGCTCCAAGGGAGACGCTGGTGCAGTGGTAGTATCATAAATATTACAATCGCAGTGTTTCATACAAGTACAAGCTTCGGATAACAAATTTAGAAATTTATTTATAATTTGGGGAGCCATCCCTGTCTTTCCTTTATTGCTCATGCAACACCCCGGAGCAGGGGCCACTTTGTTGTGGTTTACTTCATTTTTAGCAGGAGCTAAGGTACCCAAGTGACCTAAGCCCCAAATTCTTTTCCCTGAGCCTTCATTTCATTGACCTGTTGGTCATAAAAAATGGCCCGGATTTCGTCGTACGAACGACCGGCCAAAGAGTTGAGCCGATCGTCCGGCTTTTCGGTTTCTAATTGGCGCGCCTGGAGCCCTTGATTATTTTTTTGTTGGGCAGCCTGCGCCCTGTTTCTGCAGTCTCGGGACATATGTCCCTCCTGGCCACAGTTGTAACAGTTGCCCTTGAATCTGCGCATCTGTCCGCCTTGGACCGCGCCGATATCCATAGGAGCACCCTGTCCTGGCTGCAGCCTGAACGGCTTGAACCCGTGAGAGTGATTATGTTGGTTTGATGACCCAGGGCGCCTCTGGGATATGTTGTTTTGTTTGGTGGACCCGCCACCTTGGTGCATGGTGTAGAGCTCTATGGCTCTACCGACTCATCGTACTTCCTCAGCCGCCAGGGCCAAGGAATTGCTGACGTGCCCAGTCACGCTCAGCTTGTGGTTTAAAATATTTTTTGATCTCAATTTTGAGATCGTCCCAGGTAGGCCACACACCCGCGGTGTAACACTCCTGGAGTCGTACTTGGGCGTATTGACCCGCCACAGGTCCTTTTAGTCAAGATAGCACCGCAGTGGCTACCTCAAAATCATCGGCAAATGCATCCCAGTTTGCCTTGACCCAAATTTGGAGTTTGATCCACCATTCGGCGAATCGCGCTCTGTCTCCTTCAAAGGCGCCAGGGTCAGCGACGACTTCGACTTTCTTGTTGAACTTCTTTTCCACCAAGGGGGTTGCTACAGGGGGGTTTGCCTGTATCTCGGCGAGTTGTGAGGTTAATGCTGCAATCTGCGTGCGCATGGCGTGCAGCAGAGCATTCATGTCTTGTTGGGGTTGCAACGACATGTCGACTTGTTCTCTTTGGTAATGTAAAAAAAAGGTAACTGGGGGTCCCCGCTTGCTATCTGCGGATCAACCTTTTCCCAGCTGAGTATCGGATCCCAATCTCCTTCACCCTGGAGTCTGGGTGCCCAATGGGACTTTTGCACACACGTGCGAGAGAGTAGTAAGAGCGAGTCCTAATGTAACAACCAAGAGTGAATTACTCTGGCGCACTCAGAACACACTATAGAGAAGATGAAGTTGGGGAGTGGTTACCCCTTAGGCTGCAGTGAGTTAGTTGGTATACAACAGGAGGACTCGCTGAGGAGTCTGCTGGATCTATTGGGGTATATATACTACTACAGGTTTGTTTGTACATGTGTACTATACAGTTGATGAAGGCAGTGGCTGATAATGTCATAGGGCCTAGCCCGTATGGCCAGCTTCACTGCGTGAGAGAGTTAAATCTAAAAATAAGAGAAAGGCAACGCGGCGCAGGAAAGGGGAAATGCCGCGTGGCACTTAAAGTATAGAGTTGAAGCGGAGAATAAAAAGAAAGGAAATGTCCGGAAATTGTGTTATCATAACAATTTGTGTCAGTCCTCATTTACAACAGTCAACCTCACTCCTGTGAACAAGTCTATTTTTCTAGTACTCAGCTTATGCCGTGTAATAATCTCCCAACCCCAGTTGATTGCCTCTCATGGCTTGATTTTACTTTGCAAGACAGTCCAGAGCCAACGGTACATTATTAATATCATCATTATACTAGATTGTTTGTGAATCTCACTTTTATCAAACAGCATGACTCATTTTCTGTCTTACTCCAGGCTAACTTTGATTTTGACGGATTTCATGGAATACAGTGTACTTTGCCCATTTGTTCAATTCAGTTGATCTGCAGCATAATTTAAATGGTGAGTGCCGTCTTATCCAGGGCCTTTTTTTCAACTCGCTAATACATATTTGAACAGGTAATCCTGAACCTCTGCCTAGCAATCTGCTGGCTACCTTAGACCTGGCAAAACCCAACCCTGGTGTTGCTACCTTGGATGTCATAGTCAGTGGAGTGGTTACCGCTACTCCCGCTACCCCCTAGTTGGCTGAGATCACCTAACATTGCTCTACAACCACAACTGAGTTGGACTTTGCCAAGAATGGTTAATAGGAACCAGATGGATCTACTACTACATCAAGCACAGATATATGGAAGTCAACCATTCCATTGTTCCACTCAGTGACTCAGTGTTTCATGACTAATTTTTGTTGTAGAAACTGTATTTGTATTACTACATGCTCCATATTATGTATCTAGGTACATAGAATATTCTAACATGCTAAGCAGCCAGATTTTTGGCATATAAATCCTAGCTCCATACTTAAGGCTGACTTGTCTAGAAAAACTTGCAGCATTATAGAAATGACTCTCACACAGCCGAAGTGTATCCGGCCAAAGCTGACTGTGGCCCAGAAAACCAAACAGAGGCAGTGGTTTGAATCACTCACCCATAATATCTGTGCTGCTCAAAAAAACCATGAACAGAATGCGGCCAACAAAGAAATATGGCCAGTGAGTTCAATGTCTGTATGTGATCACTTGACAGACTCTAACTAATCTTATGATTTAACAGCTCTCTCAAATGGACAAAAAACCAACTCTTTTTTTTGAACCATTTGCGACAACAAAAACGCTGGGTTAATATCTGGAATGCATTTCTGATGGATAAACTACAACAAGCCAATAAAGGTGGGTACACTATACCATCCTTTTCTTGTACAAACTAATATTTTCTCTTTCTTCTTTATATGTAGGCCGTTCTGTTGGGGAGCGGATTCGCCTCCTAGACTTCATAAGAATCCACAAGGATGACCTATTGAAGGTTTATCAGCAGCTTTTATTAGCTGACCGGCAGCAGCTTGAGCTCAAGGCAGTCAAAGCTTGCCAAAAAAAATTGACCATTATTAGGGCCAACCCAAAAGCTCTATTACACGACGTCAATGCTATATTCACTGCAATGGATCAAGACGTAAAGTGGACAAAATCACTTTGTCCATGTGAATTTACTAACAATACATGGAAGTGGACAGCACTTTCTACTCAAACAGGGATGGATGGCTTCTATGTTGCTGTTCGGGGGGGGTGTAGAAGATTATGCAGAGCCCAAGGTGTTTGTTCTGAAAAAGCAGAACAATTCAGCACAGATATTCTTGGCCATGAACCCCGGAACTTAGCTCTGAAGCTTGAAGCATACATAATCAGTGGTATAAGTTGTTCTAGTTCCATTACTTTGTTGTTATCCAACAGCTAATACTTTGTTAAATCTAGCGTCATCTGTGAACTGTCAGCATCCTCCCAACAAACTAATTAGCGAGAGCCATACTATAATCCAAGATGAGCTGGGTGAGTAATGATATCAATAATCATTGTCATAACAACCTATCTTTCACCCTGTACAGAGTTTATACTGCATTCCAATAACGGCAGCCGAGCAATCAAGATGAATTACAATAATTATGAGAAAAAGATAGTTGAGCACTATGGCATAGCCCTGACTGGCTAGCCATGTGGCAATACTGTTCAAAATCCTGCACAGATTGGCAGAAGAGCTGGAGTACAGAAGCTATTAACAGTCTGCAAAATGGAAAGTGCAAATGGTCTAAACTCACTAAAAATGAACTAAAGAAGCGGCAGCTTATAAACCAAGCTTGTCAAGCAAGGGGCAAGCAGGTTTAGAAGCCGCAAAAAAAATGGTCTGTGCAAAAGTACAAAAGTGCAGGTTTGATAAATGATTCCAGTGCCCCATGTTCCGAAGAAGATGGAGATTAGAAATATACATGTCTCTTGTCTGCAGCGTTAACATAATGTTAGCAGGAACTTATGTCATTTGGTGTAGCTACACAAACCTTGTCCTTGGCCTTGTTATATTGTACAAAAAGCTTCAGTCCTTTCTTCCTAATGAGCGGCTGCTGGTGATTAGGGATGTGAAAATGCCTATTACTGTCAAATGTAATCCTTCCCTCCTGATAAGCGGCTGTTGGTGATTACAGACGCTATGTCCTTGCTATTGCTGTAAAAAGGTTCAGTCCTTCCTTTCTAATAAGCAGATGTTGTGGACTATAGATGTGACAACACCTACACTGTAAAAAGTTTCAGTCCTTACTTCCTAATGAGTGGTGCTGGTGATTACAGATGTATGGCCTTGCTATCTCTGTAAAAAGTTTCAGTTATTCCTTTATAACAAGCAGCTGATGATAACCTCAGCCACAATCAGCTGTGGAAAACTAGTGACAACCATGACCATTCTCCCTGTATTGTACTATGTAGCCACAATTAATAAGCTTGATCAGATTGATTGACTTACGGGTCACAGTCAAAAGTTTGAAAGAATTTGCCAAAGATTTGGGTTTTATCAGAGTCACTGTTGTCCTCTTCACCTCCACAAGAGATGGATTCTGCATCATCAAAGAGCATTGTTGTGTCTTGGGGATTAATCCCTGTTCCAAGGTATGCTTTGCCAAGTTGTTCTTTTGCTCCAAGGACATTGTCTACAACAAAATTAGGGTATAGTGTGAAAACAAGTAGCTACTTACTTTGAAACCTTTTATTTTCAGCTTCAATGTGCTCCTGCCTGATCTTGTCCAGTTGAGCTACTGAAGTACTGGCTGTACCACCTCGGAATAGTGTTATCCTGACATGGGATGATGTTGATTTGAGGCTCTTGCTGATCTTCCTGGTAGACATGATGTTTGAGGCAACAATGGAGAAGCTGAAGGTCAGTAGGAAGGTATGGATGATGCTGTGGAAGCTGTGGAATACAACAACAAGGCTATTAGTTAACTGTGAGAAAATATATCAGCACACTGTAATGTTGAAACTGGCCTGTACACATTTTGCCGAATAACTGCATATGTGATGCTTTGCCGCATTGTGCCAAGCTCCAAAACCTTAAGAATAAACCTTATCCATCAGTATACAGCAAACATAACAGCCCCGAGATAACAAGGCTGAATTTGTCATGTAGATTAGTATACGATGTATATTTTAACCACCACTTTGAAAAAATGAGTGGAAAATACCTAAAATTGAGCTTAATGTTGAGCCCACTGTGCTCAACAATGAATAGAGTCGCTTTGTCATCGTCAGAAGTGGTGCCGGATGAGTGGAACGGGTCGGATGACAAAAGGGCCCATGTGGCAAAAACGGCAATAGCCCAGCCAAGACACTGCTGAGTCCTGAAGTTATTGCTGAAGTGCTGCAGCAGAGGTAAGGCTTTCTAAGTAGTAACAAGTATCATCTGCAGTGTTCTTATGTTGGATATTCGGTCCCTCAGGGCGTGGGAACAGGCGCGGGAGAAGGATTCTTTTGGCAAACGAATGCCTAACAACGTAAATACATGCTTTTTATATAACAAATATATGTAAATATCATGTGAAAGACAATGATAGCCACAAAAGGCTGGTTGTAATCACAGACTAAAGCTTCGGGCGAAGCTCCGAAGTTCGCTTATGTAATATAATTTCTACATCTTACTAATATGTTAGATAAGTGTTGTGACTCAGGTGAGCCAGACCTGGGACTTTGTGAAAATTCGGCGTGTCGAAAAACTTGGAACGTGGGGTAAAATCAATCGATCGAGGCACGTGATCAATAGGCCCATCGAAAATCGAAAATCGACCCGATCGATATCCGTCACTCTTTTCACTCGAGAAATTGAACATTCGCAAATCAGGAATTGTATACCCCAGTGATTTAGGTCGGTTCTTGTTTAAGTCAAAGTACTGGCTACTACGTACAAGGGCTATCCACTCTCCTTCTCACCTTCTCATCAAATTGTTCAGAGGATGTTTATAGGTACATATCTTCTCTCGGTATTCATCACCCAGGAGTCGGGCTGTCACGCTTGCGGCCGGTGATGCCTCTCAATCAGATCCACCATTACTTCCGACTCGAATATACTAAAGTGCGTGCCCTCGATTTCGATCAGTTCTGCCTGAGGGAACACCTTCCGAGTTCCCAAGTCTTCCCATCCTGCTTTAGCGTCCTCTGGAATAGTTGAAATAATTCCTCGAGTCGCGAGACACGTTGTCACTGGCGCCTTCACCTCCTTCAGCCATTCCACCACTGCATCTCGCAACATCGTGAGGGAATAAGGTTCATTGGTAGGGAGTAACTCAAACATGAATTCATATGCAGTGACAGCAATCCGCAAGAACGCATTATACCACGCTGTCATATATTCCGGAACATCGTGTCCATTGACAGCGTCCTCAAAGTCAACTGCAATCTTCTGGCGTTGGGCGTTATCAGCTCTGTATAAGCCGGAGACGGAGGAGAGGGCATGACGAATCATATCAGGCCCAGGGGTTTTTCGAGAGGCGGTTTCTGCATCTGGTTCGAGCATGGGTGATGTCCACAAAAGTGGGAAGTGGTCGAAGACAATGATCTGTGTTACTACATCGTGACCTTCTTCGAATAGCCTGGCAAGACTGAAAAGGACAATACTCGTGGCAGAAAACCCGCCGAGACGATAAGGTCCCTTTGGCCGCGCGGCTTTAATTTCCTCGTAGTAATACCTGGACATAGATTTGACCGAGTCTGTAGGTGTGTCAGGAGTTATTTGTAAAGCCCACAATGAACTCTTGAGCAATTGTTGAAGTGGTAAGAATGGCAACACGTTGCCACTGGCACCATGCATGACGATCAAGGGCTCGCCTCCAAGATCGAGTAGCTTCACAAGTGCATGTCCTTCCGCATTGAGTGCGTCCAATGGGAAGTAGCTACCAGGTGATAGCTCCTCAGCGACGTTCTTTGTCGACTGTCCTTTCTTGACGCAGCCTATAACATCAACCAAATTATAATCAGCGAGTAGCTGCATCTGTGATATGATCAGGTACGGGCGAAGAGCGAACGCAAGGCGCCCGGCGGATAACGAATCAAGACCATATGACGTGAAGGGGACGTCCGCGGAGAACTCGTTTGATTCAACATCCAGAAAACGTAGAACAATGCTGCGGAGTACGTCCCCTACATGTTCAGTTGACTGTATAGCCTGCGGTGGTACCGAAGGTTGGACAAGGTGGCTGTATAATTGAAAGGATCCCAGATGCTGGTTCACAAGATTCCAATCAAACTGTGGGATATATAAATTCACAGGTCCATCAGCCATCTTCAGAAGAGCGTCCTCAATACAATCACACAACTCTACGACATACCAAAATATTAGCACATTGTTCCGCGGTTTACTCGAAGAGCTTGGTTTACCTCTAGCAGAATACCCCCACGGGATAAAATGTTCGAAGTGCGTGACCTTGATATTGCCGTCCATCACCGAGAAGGAGTCGGTGATCACTGGTGTGACAATAGAGAACGCGTTGTTGTATTTCCTGACCTGTCCATCTATAGCTGTATTTGCGCTGTGAATACTGTGTTAAAATCCTACTCTATATTGTTTAACGAGCCTGTAAATCACCTCGCATAATTTGTTTGTCCGGCGTTCCCAAAAGTCGAAATAGACGAAAATACAATCAAGAAATCAATCCTCTTGAGGTCCAAAACCTCTTCGATAGCCCTGAAAGCACCCAGTTTCGGCACAAAGGATGAGGCAAAACTTTCTTCATCGTGTGAGAAGAAATCACGATCATCCAAAACCATTGCGAGCAGCATACACCCCGCTATAGGGAGTGTGATACCTTCAATGATCCTCTTCAAGGCGTCCGGTGAGGCTGCATCTGATGCCTCCAGTTTTATTGACAAATCAGGTTGACCTTCCAAGAATTGCAGCATGCGTAGTGCAAGAATATCGTTAGCACGTTCAAGGGTTTCCCGGCCGGATCGAGATGTTAAGATGATGTGTCGAGCGCCATTCTTTTTGATTTATGTTGGTGTCATTGTCTCCAAATGTCAGCCTTGTGAATGTCAACCTTGGGATAATACGCACCTGATACATCCATAAGGATATGTGCAGTCCTATGCTCCCCACACCTCCTATAAGGAGGTATACTTTATCAGATTTGAAGAGCGCAGATGCAATCCGAAGGGTTGAGTCAGGAATGTTAAGGGGCATACAAAGATCTGGTATCGGAACTGACACGAGCGTGCTTTTTACAGCCCGAAGAATATCGCCAATCGCCCAGGGGTCACCTGAGATGGCGAAAGCTTCTTCAAGGCTAGAGCTCAAGCTTATCGCCTTGATCCCACCTCGTAGAAAGCTAGCGAAAACGTGATCGCTCTTTCCATATCCAGATATGATAGTATCGCCGGCACGTAACTTCAATGTTAAGAAGTCAAGGGGAGAAGCCGTTGAGTGCAATCCGATAGGATGATAATTAAGGGCGGTGAAAAACCATGTCAGCGCCCGGCCCATCATGGACTCGATATGTGTGATGATAATTCGTCCTGGACGAACCCGAGATGGATTATTCAGAAAACCAATACCAATAGCCATACCACCAACCAGGAGAGCTGGTACAACCGATGCCAGATCCTTGGGGCTGGCAGCAACCCCATCCAGCAAAGCGAACGAGCCTCTGTGTATCAACGTATACTTTCCTGGTACGCCCTTCACCACAGTGATGACAGTACAATCAATTAAGGGGAGGTCTGCATTATGTTGAACTTTGGTAACCCGTCCGACCAATCCAAATGTGTCACTACTGGATGACGAAGTGGCTAAAACTAGCACTTGGACATGTGACGAGGGCCAATCATCAGTAAGAGGGAGTGGATCCAGTATTTGCAAATTGGAAGGAGAGGAGGTTTCCACAAAACGCGGGACTTGTATTCGGTGCTTTCCGTCGACATGTACCTCTACTTCCATACCTGGAATGCTTGCAAGCTGATGAATCATAGCCTCTTGTTCCGAATGTGTGATTGTACCTTCGAAAGTAGCAAGGCGAACATTCCAGAGAGGGAATTCACATCGAAGGGAACGAGTAAAGCCTCGTGCTCCATCAGCATCATAATTGTTGCTAGCAATGATCCATAAGTCGAAGGCTTCCTTGATATTGAGAATTCGTAGTTTGTGCTGTAATACCATCTCTTGGCCAATGGCATAAGGGAACATTAGGAGATCCTGCTTTCTGCGTGCCGTGGATGTACCCGCTAACACTAAACAAGGGCTTTGCGCCACAGACAGATGGAAATCCTGATATTGTGATATTCCTGGAAACGAGATAGGGCGCAGCCCTAAGGAAGAACACGTGGTCAACCAGGATTGAGAAGACATAGGAACGGAAGCACTGGATATGAGTGGTGCCTCCCCTACCGCACCCCACAGGACAAGAAAACCGCCAGGCAGGAGTAGCGTAGTCAGATTTTGCACATGTTGTTTGTTGTCAACTTGAAGAGTGATGATGTCGAAAGATCCTTCCGTAAGCTCCTGCGGAGTGAGAGACTCGGATGCATTAAATTCAAGAGGTATGAAGAATGGGGGTAGAGAACGCTGGGATAAAGACGATGAATCCCGAGCTGCAATGAAAATTTTGAAGTGGATGATGCCCAAAGACTTGAGTATCGTGTGTATCTGTTTTCCCAATTCTTCGAAATCTCGGCGGAGAATAAGCCATTGCGACAGGCGAAAGAAGAAAACTATTACCCAAGCCAATTCCTAAGATACGTATAACTTTCTTCCCTCCCTTGTCTATATGAGTTAGAATAGAGCGGTAGACGACCTCCGTATCGTCGACGATAGAAATGGCTCTTGCGATGCTTTGATTCGTTTCGTTATTTTCAGTCATCTGTCAACAGATGTTGTCACGAAGTCGCATGGCAAGGAATCAGCGTTACCTGTCGGTGATAACTCGCCATTTTATTTTCCGCATTGGAGTCAAGTTTCCTGCCGTCGGTGATAACCGGTAATTGCTCGTCAACTCCAAACGATTGGTAAATCATGTCAAAACGCTTGCTTAGGCTTCGCGAAGGAACAAGTTCGTGGCGCGCTACGGTAAATCCACTGAGAGTGCACATTCTGATACCCTCCTCGTTAACTACTTCGATATCGGTGACAAATTCGCCTGAAGTCGTGAGATATGAAATAAGTCTGAAATCAGGATGAAAGGGAGATATTCGTACCAGGTAACCATTCTCGAAGGATAGCATGGGCATAAAGGGTGGAAGGGAAGCTATCCATATGTGAAAAAGTATCGTACAATACGAATGCCTCTAGTTGTGATGGAAGGTAATAAATCTTGCGATTTGGGTCCGCGGTGAATCTAGGATGGACCACCACGTGAAGGCATGCATCCAGAATGGCTGGGTGAATGATATATTTCTCCAGCCTTGTCTGGCATCAGGACTAGTTCTAAAGTGTCAAACAATGACATACCCCGGTAAGTCGCTGTCGGCCCCTCTAATTTTAACTAGGGTTTCGTTTAAACCTTGATAAACCTCTGTAATACGACGAAAGGCTGGACCGTATTGGGCAAAGTGTTCGAAACCATCATAGAACCCTAAACAGCACTTACTCGCACATCATACGCATCGAGGTGCTAAAATAAAAATACCTTCCATGGATAACACTTTACAACGGCTTTGAATGGCCTTGATATCGATGCGACTGTGCTTCTCAGGTGGTCCTTTCAACATGAACCCTTCTGCATGAAGACGACTGGAGAAGGACTGAATAGAAATAAGCGAGAATTTTAATTATGAGAAAGATGAAGAACTCGCATTACCGTCCCTATGAGATTCGACGGACCAGCGCGCATTATGCAGGTCCACTGAAACTGGCAAGGGTACCTCGGCGGACATGGATAGGATTGAGTGGAACTTTACATTCCATAGTGTCGTTGCGCCAAATTCCAACACCTGACCAAAAAAATCATATCCTCTGTATGAAGAACAGACAATTTACACTATTTACTTACCATTTCTAAGAATCCCGAAGCGGGCATGATAGGTTCATGATTGATGCTATGCTGGGCGATTTCGGGGTGAGTCCGAGCGTTGATTCGAAGGTCTGTGTAGTTCAATGGCCCATTTCGTGGCCCCATCTGCTTTTTCAGGACACGTGAATTGTCCGGCAGATAAGGAACAGGCTTCTTCAAAAATGGATATAGTGGTACTTCAATACGAGGACAATACGATTGTTCACGGTTTAACGTGCTGAAGTTGACGTCGTTGATCCCGGAGATAATAAGATGCCCGATAGTGTTCAACAAGGTAATGTGGTCATGATGATCCACAAGCACTTTGGTACGGCGCATAGGGCAGGTAACAGAAGAAGCGCCTAGCTGGATCAGATACGAAGATAAAGCGGGATGTGCACTAATTTCCACGAACAAAGCATTGGGGTGTGTATGAATAATCGCTTCAGCTGCCGAGGTGAAGAGTACAGGCCCTATTGTATTTTCCCAAAAGTAGTCTTCGGTGAAAGAATCGAGGATTCTGCCGTTACATGTGGAATACGTAGTGATCTGAGGCCTATGGGCGCCAGGATATCGAGCAAACACCTGGGAAATGGATGTGTGGTATTCCTCTTTACACATTTCCATCATACTCGAGTGGACTGCAACCCGAGTACGGATCTTCCGAGCAAGGATTCCACGGCTAACTGCAACATCAATAGCTCTGTCTATCATGATGGTGTGGCCTGAGATGGTAACGGCTTCTGGTGCATTGAAACAGGCAATTTCCAAGGTACATTCTTTCTGGTCGCTTGCTGTAGTCACCAAATCAATGATGGACTGAGCTTCTTTAGAACTGCATGCCAAGGCGGCCATTGTTCCATTGGACCCCTCGAGTAGTGTCATCGCTTGACCACGAGCAATGGCAATCTCCATTGCCATCTCCTTCGGTCCAGCACCCGATGCATATAAAAGTGATGTCTCTCCGGCTGAGTGACCTATCAAGATATCAGGGCAGAGACCAAAGCTGGATAGGAGATCAAACATGGCGATCTGTACCATAGCGATTGAAGGGAGGATCACTGAGATAGGCCAAGTCGATGGCAACATGCCTTGCAGTGTAACGTCATCGAACAGGCCTGTTCGAGAAATAAAAGAAACTCCGGTTTTTCTCTTGTAACAATCGTCCAACTGCACGACAGTGTCACGAAATATAGGGAAGTTCTTGAACAACTGACGGCCCACTTAGGTCATATCAATGAGATATAGACAACGCATCATGGAATGAAGACAAAAATTGCTTACTATCAATGTGCTGGGAACCCTGCCCAGAGAACAAGAAGACAACAGGTGGTTTTACTCGAGGAGATAACACCGGAGCCGGAAAGCGAAGAGGAATTGATATTTTATCAGGATGAGCGATTGCAAATGTTCGCCATGTCATTTGCCGGACACGACGACCAAAGATGATAGAAAGAGGAGACCACTTATGTGAGTTGGTATTGATCACATCATGTAGGCCGTCTGTGATAGCGTTGGTAGACCTTGGCGACAGTCCACCAGCTGCGATCAGGACTGGAGTGGTGGAAGCCAGAAAATCCTCGGTAGGCAAGAGCTTGGGCAAAGGACTTTCCAGGACGACGTGTCCGTTTGCACCGCCAATTCCAGAGCTGCACATAGATACTAGTAGTTTTCGTGAAGATGAACGGGCTTCAATTTTAACTGGTTCCATAGGAACGTGCAATTTATATTGCTCCCATTTTATGGTCGGATTGTGACGTTTGAGATTGACATTGGGAGGGACTATGCAAGTCTCGAAAACGGAACATATTTTGCATAAAGATGCCAGGAATGCAGTAATTTCCAGGTGCCTTGTGACACGATTAAAAAAACGTTGTATACTTGAACTGCAACAAAACCTCACCCAATATTTCCTTTCACACTCCCTATCAGCAACTCGGAATCTCTGCCAAAATTCTCACCGACCCAGTTGCATTCAGTTGGGTCACCAGCGGCAGTTCCTGTGAATTCCAGAATCAAATCCTGACAGTTCAGTGGACCTAGTGACCAGCACTCACCAGTGGCATGCAGTTCTACAAAGTCGACGTCTCGGGGATCCTTTCCGGTACCTTGATAAGCTCGAAGCATGGCTTCCATTTGAGCGTTTGCTACGGGTGCATAAGCTGGAGCAACGGACCCTGATGCATTGATACCAGTCCCAAGTATCTTAGCGGTATAAGATGTTCAATAAAACTCCAATGCTAATAGCGACGGTATACATACTACCCCATAAATATGGTCTGCGTCACGGACGGCGTCGTCATATGCTTTCAACACTATGACAACTGCGCCTTCTCCTCTTGAGAACCTAAGAAATAATATAAGAGAGATATCACAGCCAGCAAAGTCGGAATGCATACCCGTCAGCATCTGCATCAAAGGGTTTGCATTTACCATCAGGCGCCAAAAGTGAACCTTGACTATACTGTACGAAATCTGCCAGTCTTTTGAGGGTATATATTAGTCTTGCCATTATCATAAGGATAAAATTATGATACCTCAGATTCAACTGACAACCGCCAACAATAGCGGCTTCGCAATCACCAGTCCTTAGCGATTGAACAGCCAGGTGTAGGGCTGTCAAACTTGAACTGCAAGCAGTATCAACGGGTATTGACGGTCCTCTTAAGTCGAGGTGATAGGATATTTTGTTTGCTATCATACATGGCGTACCCGCAAATGATCCTTTTGCTTCGAACTCATCCTGAAAAATAGTATGGATGGATTCACCTGACACTTTTCTGTGAAAGAGACGTACCGGATCCGCAATACTGAGTATGTCAAATGCTGTCCCTGATGCAAAACACCCAACATTTTGGCCTCTGTAGTCAATCCCAGAGTCTAGGAGGGCTAGGAACGAAAGCTCTATGAGTTTCCTGGTGCTTAAAGCCATTGCCCGGGCATCTTTTGCTGATATACCAAATTCAGTGTGGTCGAAGAAATCAACCTCTTTAAGGAATGAACCATGCGATGTGGAAACCTGACCCATGGCATGACCCCCCCATCTGAGTGTGTTCTCTGTTATCTGGCTTATCAAAAGACATTTTCTGATGAAAACTTACGAACGGATGTCGAAACGATCAGTGGGTATTTCTTCGTACGCTTCGCCTTTGTTCAAGAGAAACTCGAAAAATTCCTTGTAATCGAAATTTTTCTCTGCATAAACTCCACTTGGAAGCTCAGCACTTATACCAACCTATGACAAGCAACATATTGTTAGAGCCTTTCAATGATTGTTGGAAATCGGGCATACTCACAATGGCAATTGGTTGGATAATGGACTGATGTCTCGTAGACATTCTGCGTTTCAGTATGGGTCTCGTTAGTCCATACCAGCTACCTTTATACTCTGGTACTGAGCGTGACGGGAATTAACTATTTCTTCAGTGCTTCTAGGGGCGTGCATCTCGCATCAGAACATACTGCATTTCCACAGTCAATGGCTCACAGCGCGATACATCATGATTCAAGTTGATCCTTGATGTCCCTCATAGTCTGATAAAGTCATCAAAAGATAGGAACAGAGAAGACGTGCAAGACCAGACAAGGCGTGCAGGGCATTCTAATCTTCCCCGTCAGACCACATCATCGACACATCAGAAAGCAAGAATATTCATTAGTATTGGCTGATGCTGGTATTTTGATAAGAGCTGTCCCGGGCAAGGTCCCGGGCCTGACCAAACCCCAAATCTCTGAGTGAAATGTTTCCTTAAAAGAATGTTAGAGGAACTTTTGGAAAAATAAATTCACCTGTGATTCCCACGCAACACCGCCAATTGTGGCTCAGATCAGGACCCTGATAATCCTATACTATGGCTGGACAATAGGTGCAATTGGTCTGAGGAGAAGTTGAATTACTCACCAGTCGTTGGACTTGAGACCATCGGAACTTGACCAGTAGATACAATTTTTAGTTTTCTAGCTGCCTATGTAGTAAAATAAGCAAGAAATAGAAGCGTTGGTGCAGCGGAACAAAACCGAAACGACGACACACGTTCTGCAACTTTCGGTCACACTAGGTCACAGCGGCACACACACAGACGAAATCAGGCGGAGCTCGTCGGCAGGATTCGGCCAAATGATCAAAATTTCCGACAAGTCCTGACGCTGCTAGTAACACTACGAGCAATTGCCAAAATAGCAAGTTGCAACAGTCTAACACCAGAGATGCAAATGGAAAACTTTCACCGGTGTGCTCCAAGATTGAACAAAGAATCAAAAGGTAAAAATATACATGTTTGGTCTTTATCTATTCTTCACTGCTAGTCTTTGTGGGATTGCATTTCCCTGTCGCACAAAGGGAAAGATAAGTGGCAGCTCTGGAACAGCCAAAATTATCTGCAACAGTCAAAGAATAGGCTTACTGCGATTATGATGTTACGGCCATATCCTAGAACAGGATGGTTTGGCTCATCCCATAAAGGAATAGTTATGCGATATTAGACCCATTGTTTACCTTTTCACTCCCAATTATGGTCCGGAGCATAGCCATAGTAGGCTTTCAGTTAGCGCTGTGCTTTTGGTATGTCGCACCAAGTGATTTCGGCGAATGCTCGTAGTGTAAGTGCATTGTTTCGAGTTTCAAGCCATGAAAGTGAAGGATTTGAGCAGGAAATAAAATACATTCTATCTATTAAACATGCTATTATTACTATGAATGAAATTAGTAGGTACAAAATAAGGCATATTTTGGGAATGTTGAGAAATACCTGAACTTGATGATGGAGAAAATGTCAAAGTATTATGAGTATCAGGCAAGAACGAAGGGGGATAACTCTTGTGGGGCTGTTATAGATACAACTGGGGCAGATATGGCATTGGTAAGGACCTGGGGGGAACCTCAAGTAACGAACCAACAGGCATGGATATGCCGCTTCCAGATGGGAGTGAAAACGATGTTGTGGGGGCTGAAGGAGGGGCAGCAGCCTAGAATATATTAAAAAGAGCTGGTAAATAAGTCAATAAAAGTACCTGTCTTCGAGCACGAGTTCCAAATAAACCCGCAAAGCAGGCGTTCCTTTCCAGGTCTGGGTGGGCTTCAAAGTGGTCCTTGATTGAATCAAGGACCTCCTGCTTTTTGCCATTGACACTCAGGCTGGGTGCCGCTGCAATGAGCTGGAGGTCTGTCTTTGCCTTGCTGCCCAGTGCTCCTGTAAAGACCTTGGTACCATTTGGCCTGGCCATCTGGGCCTGGTACTCAGCCATCTTGACTGCTTTTAGGGCCTTGGCCTCTTCTTCTTTCCTCACCTTTCCTCGCCGTTCTTCTTCTTCTGCCATATGCCTCTCACTCAACTCAGTGCTAGTCAGAAGTTTGGCGTGAATGTGTAACCCCTTTCTCTTTTTCCCCTTCCCTTCATCCTACTTAGCTTATCCTTCAAATGGGCCAGTTTGCACATCATAAAGGCACTGTGGCCTTGTATTGTATCCCATTCCCACCGTTGTCATGCACCAAAATTGATTGGTAGCATGAACAGGTGTCAATAACGAAGCGAATATTCGAAAAGACTCGCTTTTGCGCCACACAGGCACAGTGCCACATGGAATAGTAATTAATATTGCCTTTTTAGAACTTGTGGCTGATCAGCACCACCTCTATTAGGCAATCCAGTCACGCTCACCTTTGCTTTTCCATCCGGTACTTTCCGTGTTTCGGCATTTCGGCAAATTTTTGCGTCGCCACTGGCTACACATTGCATTGCGCCCTTGCTTTCATTGTTTCCCTTACTCCCCTTCCTTTGCCTAGCCCCACCATGGGCCCCTTCCTCTCCTTTTTATTCTCACCTGACAGTTGTTTCTGGATCCCCATTCTAATCGACCTCTTCATCACCTCCACCCTCCTCCTCCTCATCTTTTTTGCACCCCCACTATTTCTGATGTCACCACTTCCTATCTACTTCTGTCGCCAATCTGTTGACTACCACATGCCACTGCTGATATCAGCAAAACCCCGGCGGCCAGTCCAAATAGGGTAACAGGTCCATCTTCATGACGTCAATCTGCCATCATATACTATCAAAACATCAGTTGCTTGTCTTGCCTGGTTGGAGTGTGGGTGGGTAGTTTATGAGCTAGAGAAGGTTCATCCCCTTGCGTCGCCCATGTTCATTGCTGTCCCATTCACTTGGGTACACTTATCTTTTGTCCATCATCTTCGCTACAGCTACACCTACCACACGCTGCCTGGGACTCACTTGTTCCAAATTGGAACTACTCCTCTCCCTCCCTCGTTTGATCAGGTGGTCCAACACAACCAGTCCATTGGTAAGGCCATGGAACTGTTGGATTTGGACTAGGTGGTGGACCGGTGGCTCCAGTTTCTTTTTCTTCAGCAGAACATTCATTTACAGTGCAATTATTTTTGATTTTTGAATCATTTTTATGGACACATATTTTTTTAGAATGCCTGACTGAAAATAAAGGAACTGCGTTGATACTGATAGTGTTTTTCCTTGCCCTTTTTTTACTGCATCTTCTTCCCATGACATCATGATTTTCCTGCTCTCTTTTTGCTATTGGACTTTACTTTATGGCTGTACAAACCTGTGACATTATTCACAGCATTCATTGTTCTATCCCTTTCTTTTCCTTTTTTTGACACTCTTATCCTGTACTACCTACGCAGGATTTGTAAGCATAAATTCCTTCCTTCATGTTCTTTCTCATTCTTTTTGCGCAGCTATACTGTGCATAGCCTACCTTTCTTTTTACTATATAAACCCCTGTATTTTACCTTGTAAAAAAATAACAAAGAACTCCAATCCAGACTTCTTCTCTAATCTCAAGTTCACTACTCTTCTACTTGTGATCCAGTGTGGTCACAACAGTTCCCACTGCTACCACTGTGAATTGCTGTCATCGTCACTTCCCACTTTTGAAGTCATTGTTATCCCTTTTGATTAGAGTCCTTCTGAGCACTACAGTTTGTGTGTCAGGAGCCTGCTATCACTGGGAACCTTGTCACCTTGTCACCTTGTCATCCTTGTTGTTCTCAAACCTACCTTGTGCTACGATTAGCAAGGTAGTGCTCATCTATACTCGTCACTAAGCCCCTATCTGATAAAATTGGATATTGACCAGACCAGGGATTGAACCTGGAACCTTCTGGATACATGCCAGCTGCTCCACCAATTGAGCTATATGGCCAAGGCTATACAATGTAGGATCTTAAACATGACATGCAACCACGGACATCTTACACAGAATAGCTGCTGCATACTGGGCTGGCTTACAAATCAGAGGTATTATCCTATGGAGTATTGGTATGTCAGAGTATATTCTAACACTATCTTCTATCAATTCAACTATCCCTCCTCCTCAAAACCCACACCCATATATCTCTGGGTTTTACTTTGAAGGATCCTTATACATACCACCCCACGAACAACCAGAGCATCCACTGTTATAGGAGGCAAAGCCCATAAACAAGTTCACGCAATTCTCCGAAGGACAAAAGGTGTGGTTAGAAAACACCAACCTATGAGAAAAAGCTACCTAATACAAGAAGTTTAACATGAAACGCATCAGACCTTTTTGTATCCAAGCAAAGATTTCCCCGGTAAACTACTGACTATCCCTGCCTCCCCATTGGAGGATACACAACATTTTCCATGCATCCCTTCTCACCCCATATACAGAGACCAACACTCACGGCCCAAACTGTATCCGACCACCACCTGACCTTGTTAACGAAGAAGAAGAATACAAAGTAGAAAGTATTCTTAGATACAAACCCTGGAAACGCGGGCGCCGCTACCTGATCAAATAGCGCCATTACCCTCATTCCGAAAATTCATGGGAACCAGAAGAACATTTAACCAATGCTGCGGAGATACTGGAAGCCTATAAGAAGGACCACAAGCTGCATTAAAGAGACAACCACCCCACCACCAATGATCCTCTGTCTCTCAACACAAACATGTCTACTTCCCACTCTACCGGCTTCCCCATCACCACTTATTCCGTACCTGGCGAGGCCAACATGCTAGCCAATGAACAAATGTCCTTTGCCCGAGGGCAACAACACAACCAAGCTGACGTCTCTGACACCATAGAGCTAATGTCAGCCAAAAACGCCTACATCTATTTATTTTATGAAACAGAAAAACGCTGCCCCCATGCGTACCACACACTCTCTTCCATGCATAACTTCCTTGCCATAGATCTCGTAGCTGATGAACTGCTAAAAGCCATAGACTCACTACATTCGTTGGAAAACGAGCGTTCACAGCTCAGCAGTTAGGACTCGAGTATCTGTTACGATAACACAATTTCTGGACATTTCCTTTCTTTTCATTCTCCGCTTTAACTTTATACTTTAGCTTTCACACATGGTGCCACGCGGCATTTCCCCTTTCTCGTGCCGCGTTGCCTTTCTCTTATTTTAGATTCAACTCTCTCACGCAGTGGAGCTGGCCATATGGGCTAGGCCCTATGACATCATCAGCCACTGCCTCCATCAACTGTATAGTACATATGTACAAACAAACCTATAGTAGTATATATATCCCAATAGATCCAGGAGACTCCTGAGCGAGTCCTCCTGTTGTATACTAACTAACTCACTGCAGCCCAAGGGGTACCCACTCCCCATCTTTCATTATCCTCTATAGTGTGTTCTGTGTGCGCCAGAGTAAATCACTCTTGGTTGTTACAGTATCTGTTGGGTACTCCGGATGGAAAAATTAGTTTTGGAATCTTTGGAAGGACACTTGAGGATGAACTCCTTGAATGGGCAGACGGACGCGGCAAAGGCATGTTTGGAATTAGGCGGGAGGACCTTGCTAACAGAGGCACGCACACGGATAGAGCGAGACGGCTATACAAGTACTCCTCCACCCGGTTTGTCCCACCAGTCCCTATCATACCCAGAACGGACCAGTGTTACCCCGGAGCGCACCTACCACATTGTCACCCAACAACCTCTGTCCACCCAGTTGGTGGAAGAATATATTCCCACCGCCCCAACCAGCCCGATCTCACAAGAGTTGAGCCCCTCCAGTCCCCGTTCCATTGGGTTGAACCCAAAACCACCGTCTCCCCCATCATCTCCACCTCGACCAGTACCAAACGCCTAAACCCGTTGCCTGACAAACTGGCGAGGAGCTCGACGCGGCCGGCAAGAGGTGATACTCTAGATCCCTGCTGCCAGAACTTCATCAAAATGGCAATCTTGTATGTCAAAGGGTCAGAAAGACAGTCTGCCTGGCGCAGTGCACAGGCCTGAGACTGGCTCTCCCTCCAATCCAATCAACATAGATGATGATGCAGCCATGATTGATCAGTTGTACACAGGAATGTACAACCTGGGAGATGACAATCCAACCACTCCCCAATCCGACACCTCATCCAAAACCCGACAAAGATACCACAAAGGCATTCGTAACAACGCTCTATACTGCCAAAACTGCAGTTGGAGCGATCATCGCACATATTATTGCGAAGCCTACTATTGCCCCAACTGTGCCCGTTGTGCACTGGGACATAGTTTTAATTGGTGTCCTATCCGCAGGGAAGACGAGGATAGGATTCTAATGGAAGGATTACATGGAGATGTCAGCTACAACAACAGTTACAATATTGACGGCAAAGGTACTAAATTTTGGTGAAACTCGGAGCAAATAAGGGGGTAATGTTACAATTTCTATTGAACATTTAAGGACTACTCATTTTTCTTTACTCATTGGTTATACCATTGGACCAATGACTCATTTCCTTCACGTACATTTCCGTTCTTCTCGCATTTGCATTACCTAGTATAGTACTTAGTCCTCAACGGACTGACCTGCCCTAGATAGGACCTAACTCCTATCACCAATTCTTTCTATTATAAATACACATGTAACAGTAGTAGTATTCTCCAATACAATTCTATGCAGTTTATGCTTACAAAGCTAGACTATTAAGATCAAGACTTCTACTCAGAAGAAGACCAACTCTTGTTGGAAGAACTAAACTCTGAACTACATTCTCGCACTTGTCCTCGGATAAGTCTCTTTTCAAACCTTGACAAACCCTCAGACTTTGTTAAGCACTTTGTGCATAACAGGGGGCGACAGTTTGTTTGCAGAGAGGGTGTATTACCTAGAAATTCAATCCACTCCAATAATACCCTATCCTGCGCCTGATTCAAATGCTGCTGCTGAATATGAGCCTCGCAACTAGGCAAAGCTTTCCCATTATACCTCCTGAGTGCCGTATAGTAGTGTCTCAAGATCCCTAAGTCACAACATGCTGCCTTGAGGTTTTTCGCCGCACCGGTACTGGTAGCTTTGCATGCAGCTGTATTTATTCCTCAAGTCACACATCACTGGTGGGAGGCTGTTGAGATGTTGAAGCATGACGGCGATGTCTTCTAGTCTGCATGGGAGGCATGAGATATGAGGATCAGTTGGAGATAAGGGAAAGCAGTCTGTTGATCAGTTGATACTTAGTAAGTCCTAAACGCTTCATTATTAGTCAGTGATTGATGTTTGCGGGATGTACCGTATTGGAGCTGGCAGGCTTTGACTCACTATCTCAGTGCGTGATTTCCTGTTTTGGTGGTCTAATCACGCCTCCATCACTGTTTTCATTTCTCCATACATCTCAAGGCCCCAACCAGCTTGGTAAGTATGTGGCATTGTAGGGGAGTCCCCATAGACATTTTCTAAGACAAAGCCACCATATTCGCAACACAGGATCTGGCCAAATCTATTCATCTTTCCCTCAAAATTTGCACTTTTGGAGGTGGAAGCCTTAGTGTCAGGTCTGCCATTGTTGCCACAGGTGAGCTATCCATAAAATTCTTTCACCATCGTATTTATTATACTCTATTCTATTTTTGACAAATTTCTAGATACCTGTTGTCTTGTAGGACAATTCATGATATTTTGAGCCATAAGACAGATTTTTTGGCATTTCTAGAAGGCCAGATTAGCCATCCGGACACCGAAACAAATGTTACTAGATTGCCATCTGGACACAAAATCATACAGATGTGAGACCTCAAAAAGTGCGAATTTCTAATCTACCCTCTATAGGGATTATCAGGGTCCTCTCAGATCCCATCACTTCACTGTGAGGAAAATTTTGACCTCCCAAAATGGTGTTAAAAACAGTAAAGAAATTATGAAATATTACTAGAACATTTTGACCATACAAAAGTAGTAATGTTGAGCTGTCCTTAAAATACCTAGTCTCCTATAAACAGACCATCAATCCGGAAGGGAGAAGTTTGTCAGAACTATGGCCTCTTCTTCAGAGTAACGGAGCTGCAGAGTGCGGGGACGAGATGGGGAATCGGCTTAGCTTGTGCGCTAGACCCTTCCACAGACCTTGGTCCCTAAATAATTGGAAGTATATCAGGTGTTATGGCCATGTGGATGTTGCAATGATAAAACCCCTCCCAGAAAGGATAATAGACACTCCCAGACACATTTTGAGCTTTGCATCTCTCCTGGAAATTGTTGATAGACATTGCATCAGCTTTGGCTGTTGGTATAACCTCAGCAGTCTTGTTCTGGGTCCTCCATCTCCCTGGATGTCTTTCTCCCATGGTATCTTCGGAGGCATTGCATTTAGGACAGGTCCCAGATCTGGGTACATCACTGCTGCAAGTTTGTAGCTATCTGTAGTAGCTTGCTCAATGAAAAGGGTGAAACCTAGGCACGCTGTAGTTGGATACCGGGAGCAAGTAGAAGCCCGTGGAGTATTGGAATGCTAAGAAGCCCGGGAACACTGGATTACTGTAAAACCCGGGAATACTGGACTACTATTATATAGTATAACGGACTCTGGGTTTCTATTAAATTGCGGTGTTATTGATTGGTCCACTGTTCTAGTTATTCCTTAAACCACTATGCCTAGCCTTTGGAATGAGTCCTTTGCCTATTCTGAGAACTGGTTCCACATCCTGATTTACCTCTCTGCATATGCTACATGACTGGATTTAGCCTCCATTTTATTGGCATCTTGAAAACCCTTCCAACGCTTAGCTTGATGTTGAAAATACTGAAATGTCCACTTCATCTTGAGGCACACCAGAATGTCTTCTTCTATCCACCTATTGTATGTGGCTTTTGCTCTTAGCTAGTGAACCCGGTAAAGTGTATTTTATTACTAAATGTTAGCTATTTAATACTGTGAAACTGTGACCGGGCTGGGGCACATACATTCAGACATCCATATCTGTTGGGAGGTGTCACCTTTCAGATCTATGCCCCAAAACCATGGCAATGCAGGGTTGCGGAGTCTGGTTGCATTGGGATTCATAAACTGGGTACTTGTCTTGAGGTGGTCTGGTTTGAGCTTTTGATATTTTTGTAATATTTCTGCCTGGCACCCCAGAGATATGATTGCATGCTGGGCTCTGTTATATATGGCTGAGTGGAGTTTGATGTCAGCTTCCACATGGGTAACCTCTGCCTAGGCCTTCAACTTTTTCTTTTGAGAGCCTTGGGACGTTCTCACCTTTATCCTGAATAGAAAAGACTTTTGACCCAGTAGGATACATATCTGGTGCAAGGCATCATTGGTCTGACCTTCCCAGAGCATAAGCTTCTGGCTTACTAGATGGTGTAGGCCTTCAATTTTTCAAGTGCCTTTTCCTAAGTTAGAGGGTAATGCCAATTTTCTCCTCTCAATAGGCTTATCATCACCATCAAAGGAACCTGGGAGGTCAAACAGATTTATGTTTTCTGCATTATCATCTTTGTTGGAGGTTGGCCACCCCGGGACCTCCTTAAGAAACTCGGCAACATCAATATTGCCTAGATACCTTTCAACCTTCAGGTTGAAAGCATTTACATGGGAGAGCAGGCATTGGCACCTTTCCTCTAACTCCAGCTTTTCTGCAGTTATGCCCTTTTTGTTCATTTGTTTTGCATACATTTGCAGTTGTATCCTGTTAGGTAAAGTTAATCAGTATTCAAAAAAGTATATATTTCCAGGATCCCAGGGGCCTGGGGATTTACTGAGTCTCTTCCAACTTCAGACCCACCAATAACCAAGCAGCGGTTCCTCAAACCACTCCATTTTTTGTTTCCTGTTGCAATAAATGCAGCTGAATTTCTGCTTTACTGGGTAATTTTGCTATAAAGACTTTGTTACGATAACACAATTTTTGGACCTTTCCTTCTTTTTCATTCTCCGCTTTAACCTTGTGTACTTTAGCTTTTCACATATGGTGCCATGCGGCATTTCCCCTTCTGGTCAAACTTCTCTTTCTCGCGCCACATTGCCTTCTTCTTATTTTAGATACAACTCTCTCACACAGTGGAGCTGGTTATGCGAGCTAGGCCCCATGACATCATCAGCCACTATCTTTATCAAATGTATAGTACATAAGTACAAACAACTCTGTATTGGTATATATACCCCAATAGATCCAGGAGACTCCTCAGCAAGTCCTCCTGTTGTTAACCAACTAACTTACTGCAGCCTAGGGGTAACCACTCCCCATCATCTTCTTTATAGTGTGTTCCAGTGTGCGCCAGAGTAACTAACTCTTGGTTGTGTCAGACTCCATATATATTCATGGTGTCGTCTTTATGCAGCCAGTTTTGTTGTGCATTTTTTTCCTGGTGTCGATGATGAGAACTGCTGTTAGAAAACCACACACAAAAACAAACTAACAGACAATCCTCCCAGATTCCACGGAACTTGTTTATGGGCTTTGTTTCCTAGAACAGTGGAGTGGTCTGGTTGTTTTTGGGGTGGTATGTATGATGATCCTTCAAAGTCAAACCCAGAGATGTAT